TTTGTTTGTTTTATTTTCATTAACACCTCAATATTGACTTCATTGATCGAAGGATCAAGTGGCAAAATAGTTCAACAGATTTTAACAGAGTGAATTTTGCCTGGAGTGTGTTGCAAAACAATTTGAATGCAATTCATTCATTGAGGCATTGCTGGACATTTAGATGGAATTCATTCAAATTTATTGAACGCAAATTTTGCGGCAATTTCAAAAAGTGTATTTCTTTCTTTGGTTATTACTGATCCAATTTTTTTATGAACAAGCATAACTGTCCACATGGATTGGATGTAACATATCACATCGAAGCTTTGGTAAGGCTTCTTCCGTCGTTGTTAAATGGAATTTTGCAGACGCATCAGAGGTGCATTCATTTTTTTAGGTTTCACCAAGAAATGTTTGTTAGGGTCGTTGTTGGGTAGATTTCGTTATTGTATTTTTATAGCTGATTATGGCAGACATTGTAAATAGTGACTTCTTCAGGCATATGGAGGTTTTTGATGGCCAAAAACTAAAGCAACTGAAATTGTAAACTGAATAAATTACCTGTAACTTTTTTACAATTACAAATAAACTTGTACGTGGCATTGAATTTATAAGAAGCTCAATTTGATTCTTGGGTGTACTTTTCCTGATACCTTGAACCTTTGGGAAGAGGTTATGTCTGTTCAACTGTTCAGAGAAAAACCTTCGAGAATTATTTTTGTTAACATTTAGGAAACAAATAATTAACCGGGTAATTTTATATTAAAAAATAATATTCATATAAATACAATTAATGTGAATTTAAAATGCTTCCGATTGTAGAGTCTCAGGTCAATACTACGATGCGTTAAATATTTGATTCCCCCAACAATCGACACTGTAACATTAGGACAAATATGCAAAACGTACAAACGTGTATGACACGCACGCCAAACAAATATCATGTGAGAAAGTATGACCATAAACGTAGACAGTTGGACGCCTGTGTTGCGATACGGCTCAACCAAATAATAATGAACAACGATAATCTCTTCTCTCCCGGTCGTACAAACACAGACAGGACCATGCTAAATATTTATCTGTTTGTATGTAACACCTCCCTACCAGGCCCCTCCGATGTTCGTGCAATCTAAACGTATAAACGAAATGACTGCAAGGTTTTGTGTTTTTGTTTGACTATGTTTGATTTTGGATTTTGGTCCGCTGCCAATTTCATTTTGTCACTGCGAGTGGCACGCGACTTTCACATGCCAATATTTGTAGCAACCAGCGATGGCAGCGGGAGGGACAATACTGCAATGAATTGGTAGTGGCGCTGATATGTAACGTTACGCTTTGACGCCTTGCCCCCAGCAGGCATTCGCTGTACTAGACTAACTGTTATTTTCCTTGTTCGGTGTGGAAATTTATATTCCAAAAAAATGTTGATTACTGTGTTTGTACGAAATGTGAGAAAGATGAGTGTTATGAAGAAGATATATATCGACACGACTGAAATTGGTTCGATATTGGGGAATCTCTCGACTCGTATGTGTATTTTCATCATAAAACGTATTTTCATCGTAAAACGTACACAAAACTTCTTGATTAAGATGCAATTATTTATGTGACTTATTCTCAACAATAACAACAAGAATGGGTTGATTTCTTCGGTTGGAAATTGTACCAATGTCCATTAAGACAAAATACCGGCTGATAACACCCGCAGGGTGGTTGTTCTTATTCACCTTTACATATTGTGGTGAATAAGACATGTTTAAAACAAATCGTTCGCTATAAAAAATTATAGCATTTTATAGTATATAATGCGCCCAAAAATATGCTATTTCTAAACTGGTTGACTGTAACACCAGTGTTGGTAAATGCAATTCTATTTTTGTATGCATGCCACAATAAAGGACATTGAAATTGAGTTCAGTTTAAAATAAACACGAATTGATACGTTGAATTTCATTACATTTCGCACTCAAACAGGGGCATAAACAGAAAATATTTTTTTCGATTTAGTTTGAGTTAATTACAACAATTTCAAAATTAGTATTGAAATGGAGTGCATCTCCATCAGATGTCACTTATCCCCCCGCCTACAAAAAGAGTTTTGTTGATATGTTGAGTTTATTTCGTTTATTTCCGGCCGAAGATGAAATTGTGTTACATGTCAAGCATGTGGCATTCTGAATATAGCCTCTTAAAGACATCACAAATGTAAGATGAAAAATATGAATATTCCTAAGAAGCAAATAGACATGTTTGTGTCTTTACACACACATGTGAGTAGACCTACAATCGACTACGACATCTAGAATTTTTGGCTCCCAAAAATAGAAATAATTCGGGGAGTATTTTAACTCCATACCGGAAAACGAATGCAAACAAAAAATATGAATGCGTCATTTACGATAATGGATTTTCTCAGCAGGCCATTTGGTTACGATGAAGTTATGTTGTACAATGTTGATCTGTGCAAAACACACGGTGGCACCAAATAATCTACGCGATTTGGCCTATTCGATTGCTCTCAGTTAATTCGTAGTTTAAATTTTAAACTGAGGGCTAAGGGCTGAGTTTTAAACTTTAAACCTTGCTGTGTGAAACAATAAAACATAATAACTAAGTAAAGCTGAACCTTACCCCATAGCCCATTGCCATCATTTTGCAATTGCTATCCATTGAGCAGCGATTGTATCCATAGATATTGGAAGTGATGCAAATGTGGTATAGGTTGGTAATGTGGTATAGTCACTTTTTTTTGTAAACTGAAAATTTTAGAATAACTGAAACATGTTGTATAGTTTGTTGTTCTCAAAAAAATAAGATAGCAATGATCTGTTTAATTTATTTAAATCACGTTGAGAATCAGTACCAAAAATTAAAATTTTCATGAAAATGACTTTTTTCGGTTCAAGTTTAAAAATAATTTTTTGTTTTACGGATGTAATTTAATCGTTATTACTAAAGCATTAAAATAATTAGTATGAACTAAAAATCAAATAATATGCGCGATTCCACCACATAATCACCAATTTAGGAAAAAACTAAACATTTCTTCAGTAAACACAAGTGCAGGTAATGTGGTATACCTTGAGTCTGCATGAAAAAAGCCAGCACTAGACAAAATCTTATTACTATTTGAAACATTTGTACTCTACGAGAGTACCACAAGGATGAAAAACAAAGGCTATGAGTTTTAACGACTTCTCCATACAAAAATTAAATATTGCCATGTGTAGACATTATTACATATTACAAATTAAAGTTCCACTCAACCTATCCGTTCAAAATCTTAACAGACATAAATCTCGAGCTAATTCGCATTCATTAAAAACAATAAATTATATAAGATATTAATTGGAAGTGAAAATTATACTATACCACATTAACATCATGTGGTATACCACATTACCTTCACTTTTTTTTATATCACTTTTAATGGAATTTCAAATATTTTCTCAAATATCTCTTAAATTGTTAGAATAATTTTATTTTCAAATTGATACATGAAAAGACAACACATGTAGCATGTTATGTGCAAAATTTCAATTTAATCGGATAAAAAATAAAAATTTGGCAATCTAAAAACAAATGGGTATACCACATTTGCATCACTTCCTATAATACTAATTTTTGGGAGCTTATATTTCATGTCATATCCTATTTATATTATTTAACGATGTGGATTCTTTGAAACAAAAAAAATAATAATTATAAAAACACTTTTTTCCAAAACTTAGATCATCAAGCTCGACTCGAAAGAGTATAAAAAATCTCTTAAAATTACTTTCAAATGATCACTGCCCTTACAAGGCAAAATTCAAATAACAAAAATCACTTTTTTCCAATTTCAAAAATGTTTACAAATATTTTGGTTCAATTATATTTATTTATTTAATTCATGATTAGTACCATGTGAAATATATAAAAATAACTTTATACTAAAAAGTAGTGAGTTGAAACAAATTAATACGAACAAAAGTACATCAGTATATTGATAATCCGCCCTCTATAATTATCTGATCCTCATCAGTTGATTTCTTGGAACTTCCCGTTCTTACTACGCGTTATGACCATATTAAAAATATTTGTTTACTTTTTGGTAATTTTTAAAATTGTGAATGTTTGTGCAAATTCAGATTGATGAATGAAAAAGAACATCAAACAGCGACTTAAATTCAATGAAGAGCTTAGGAAAGGAACCGGACGTGGACTATTTATCCTTGAATTTAAATGCATTCCATGTACTCCAAATGAAATTCGAAACAAATTTAAATATACCATGAAGGCATACAAAACGTATTTCGGTGTCGGAAATAAAGCAAAATTTAACTGCTCCAAGATTCACAAATACGGACAAAATATTCTGGATGTAGAATTTTGTTCCAAAACAAGTGTTTCCACTATATTTTTTTGTTTAAATTTCATCTCCTTTTCTGTGTAAATTTCATCTCCTTATGTTATCTGTTGTATCAACTGAAATTCAAGTCATATCTGTGTGCCCATCCATCTGTACTTCATTAAGTTATGATGTTCTTTCCGTTCTGGTCAAAGGCAAAACCAATAGTTTTGGCAATGACATTTTGAAATGGACTAAAAACTTTATTTCATTTTCTATGAAAGTCATAACTATGGCATTGTTAGAGGCTGAAGTATAAGATAATCACCGCATAGTTTTGCTCCGCAAAAAATTTAAGTTCATAACATGTATTTCAATAAAAATAAAAAAATTTCAAACGCATTGTCATGATTTAGATTAGGCGAGTTTACTTGCGGCAAGTCTTTGTTTGTAGGAGAGAGGGGCAAAGGGATAAATATACCTTGCTCCAATCTGTTCTCATTTTGGTAATATGTATTTGTGTAAGGAAAATTGACATCACTTGTGTCAAATTTGGAATATTGAGTAAAATTTCGTGTCAACCGGAATATCTGAACCGATTTTCATTTTTTTTTCGCATTTTTAGCAATAAAACATAAATCTAATTTCATTTTTTTACTAATGTGTTCTTAATTATTATCCTCAACAGATTACCGCCCTTGATAGCATTCCTTATAATTGTCTGTGTGCAGAGTTCTCAAGCCAGATTTGTAAGTTAAACCTACACACTACACACAACCTTTCGGAATTCACCCATCACATTTTCTCTTTTGCAGTTTGGAGACAGACTTAAGCGACAGAATGGCGCGAACATGTATTTACCAGCTAGTTCAATTGTTCCCGGCGGCGAAGGTAATGATCCTAACGAATGGACCGAATGGAGTTCTCCATCCGAATGTTCACGTTCTTGTGGTGGCGGTGTTTCGTATCAGACGAGAGAATGTAGGAGAACGGGGTAAGAATTAATGCAAACAAGTGCTGGAGAAAAGAAGGATTCCTTTCAACATATTGTGTATTTATAGGCCTGACGGTTCGCCATTGTGTAATGGTGGTAATCGCCGATACTTCTCTTGCAACACTCAAGATTGTCCCGAGGATGAGCCCGATTTCAGAGCTCAGCAGTGTTCGCGTTTCAACAATGTACCTTTTGACGGTATCTACTACAATTGGGTGCCCTACAAAAGTGCGCCCAATCCCTGTGAACTCAATTGTATGCCCAAAGGTGAACGATTCTACTACCGACACAAGGCTAAGGTTATCGACGGAACTCGTTGCAACGATGAAGATTTGAATGTGTGCGTCGACGGTCAATGCCTGCCGGTGGGTTGTGATATGATGTTGGGATCGAATGCCAAAGAAGACAACTGTCGTCAATGCGGGGGAGACGGAACTACGTGCCGCACCCTGAAGGATCGCTTTACAACTAACAACTTGGCTGCCGGTTACAATGACATACTCTTGGTACCGAGTGGAGCCACCAATATTCGTATAACTGAAACCGAGCCTTCCAATAATTATTTGGCATGTCGCAATCTCACCAGTCACTACTACTTGAACGGAAACTGGCGCATAGATTTCCCCAGACCAATGTTCTTTGCAGGTTCCTGGTGGACATATCAGCGCAAACCACATGGATTTGCCGCACCAGACCAGCTAACTTGTCGTGGTCCAATTACCGAATCGATTTATATTGTTGTCCTGGTTCAGGATAAAAATGTCAGCGTTGATTACGAATACAGTATTCCTCAGACGGTTATTTCCAATACCCCAGCTGTTTACAATTGGACGCATATGGAGTTCGGACCCTGTAGTGCTTCCTGTGGTGGCGGCATTCAACATCGTAATGTCAGCTGCAACAATCGCTTCAACTTGGACAAGGTGGATGACCATTTCTGCGACGAAAGAACAAAGCCTGTCGAAAGCCAAGAATGTGGAACTGAGCCATGCGCTCCCCATTGGGAAACATCTGAGTGGGGCAAGTGTTCCAAGGGCTGTGGTTCGGATGGCACCCAAGATCGTAATGTCACTTGTGAAAGGATATCTCCAACTGGAGAACGCACCGTGGAAGATGATTCGGTGTGTTTACAAGAAGTAGGCAACAAGCCCGCCACGCAGCAAGAGTGCAATCGCGATGTCAAGAATTGTCCAAAATACCATTTGGGCCCGTGGACACCGGTATGTATAATTTAAAAAAGTACACCAGTCCAGATGTACCATTAACTATTGCGACTCCGCATTATTTTCAGTGCGACAAATTGTGCGGAGAAGGTAAGAAGACGCGCAAAGTAACCTGTTACATTGAGGAGAACGGTCGCAAGCGGGTGCTAAGTGATGAAGACTGTGTCGAGGAGAAGCCCGAAACAGAGGCGACGTGCATGTTAGCCCCTTGTGAGGGAGTCGATTGGATAATTTCTCAATGGAGTGGAGTAAGTGGAATCGAAAACGTGTTTAGAGAGTACCCTTTTCAAACCATCTTTCATTTCAGTGCGATGCATGTGGACAAACTACAGAAACACGCACCGCCATCTGTGGCTCGAAATCTGGAAAGGTTTATCCCGATGAATTTTGCGCTCCTGAAGTTCCTCTCCTCTCAAGACCCTGCGAATCGAAGAAATGTAAAACTCAGTGGTTTACATCGGAATGGAGTAAATGTTCGTCTCCTTGCGGCAAGGGTGTCCAATCGCGAATAGTCCTTTGTGGAGAATTTGATGGAAAAACGGTAACAAAGGTCACTGATGAATCGAAATGTGACGTTGCAACGAAACCAGAAGCATCCAAGGAATGCGAAGGAGAAGAAATGGAATGTCCTGGTCAATGGTTTACTGGCCCTTGGGGATCTTGTAGTAAACCATGTGGTGGCGGTGAAAGAAATCGTGAGGTGATGTGTTTAGCAAATGGAATAAAATCCGATAACTGCGATGAAGACAAGATAGAATCAATTTCTGAGAAGTGTAATACACACGCTTGCACAGACGATGAAGTCATGCCCGTTGATAGTGCGGACAAAGACATTTCCGACGATGATGATGAGGAAGATTGTGAGGAGGAGGAAGACGAAGATGTTAAAGTGGTTACAGCCAAGATGAGTGAAGATCTAAAAATCTCTGACGGCATTGAATTGGATGAAGAAACAACTGTTTCCTCATTCATCACCGACGAGCTCATGATGAGTGACAGCACTCCACCGACTGACACAACAGATGAAGCTGGCTCAACTGATGCCACCTTTACTACTGTCGAAGGTTCTGGAGATGGTACAGAAAGTACTTCCGTATCAAGTATGGATACCGTCGAGGGTAGCGGCGACACAGAAACCACTTCTGAATCAGGTGTCACGGAAACACAGACAGGATCTACTGAAGGTTCTGATGCTACCGAAGATACAACTGAATCCTTATTGGAGACGACTGGTTCTTCTATATCCGATGATACTACAGAGGCACCAACCACGGACACAACCGAATCTGCCGCTTCAACCGAATCTTCTACAGATATTACTAAAGAAACTGAAATAACCTCTGATTCCACTCAAAGCTTCTCTGAAGAAAGTACCGAGTCGTCTGCCATCACTGATGGTCTTACCGAGGGAACTGAACCTACTGATATGTCGACATCTACAGATGCTACCCAAACTACTGATATTAGTGCTTCTACTGATTCTTCTGAGCCCACTGAAACAACAGGCGCAACAGATTCATCATCCATCTCAGGTTCTACAGATGCATCTACGGAGTTCTTTACTACCAGTGATGTTAGCGACACAACAGATGTTTCAGATTCAACTGATACAACGTCATCAACTGATGTTTCGGAAACCACAGATGCATCAGTTTCGACTGATGTTACAAGTTCAACTGATGTCACAAGTTCAACTGATGTTACATCCACAACTGAAGTCTCGCCTACATCAGATGCTTCAACGGAAACATCCGTTTCCACTTCTAGCGATGTCACTGAAACGACATCGAGTGATACAACAGTTACCACCGACACCACATCAACCGATAGTACACCATCCTCTGACAGTACAACTGAATTTACGACCAGTACTGACATTTCGGAGTCAACTGAAGCCTCAAGCTCGACCACCGAAAGTTCTTCAGGTTCTACAGATGTTTCTGATACCACCAATGCATCAGTCACAACCGATGTTTCGGACTCAGATGTATCTGCCACAACTGAGGTTACAGACACAACAGAGGAATCTACATCAACTGAAAGTTCTGACTCGACAACAGGTGTTTCCGAGACCACTGCTGCATCGGCTACCTCTGACGCTTCTGCATCTACAGATACGACGGTTAGCTCTGACACCACCGATATTTCCGGTAGCACTGAAAGCCAAGTCACTACTGATTCATCTGTGTCCACTGATTCCAGCGATGTTACTTCCGAATCAAGCTCTACAGATGAATCTACTGAATCGTCTGGTTCCACTATCACAGATGCTGAAACGACATTGTCTACAGATGAAACTTCCGATTCGTCATCTGATGCATCCACAGTATCTACAGACGCAGAGACCACAGAAATTGATTCAACCACACCTACAGTTATCACCGACTCCACAACAGATTCCGGAATTTCTACCAGCACTGAAGTTACAGAAGACACCACAACTGACGCCGGTGAAGAAACCTCATCTTCGGAAACAACTGGAATTTCAGACGTTACAACAGAGGCATCATCCGATTTCACCACATTGGAGTCAGAGACTACGGAAAGCGCGTCAAGTGAGCCGACAACGACTTCACAAGGTTTGTCTACCCCATCAGATCTTTTCGATTCGACCACCGAAAGTTCTGGTGACAGTTCACTCTCAACTGAAGATGCTACCACAGTTGATATTTGGACATCGGAAGACGACGACTTTGAGAAGAGTACTCCCAATACCTTGCAAGCTATCATCACCAAAGAATCTAAACCCAAAAAATGCAAGCGTAAGAAGACAATACAATGCAGCAAAACCGAACACGGTTGTTGTCCAGATGGAAAAACTGTTGCTAAAGGTCCATTCGACGAAGGTTGTCCCATTCCCAAGACATGTAAAGATACAGAATTTGGTTGCTGTTCTGATGGTGTGTCACCTGCCGCGGGCAAGAATAATGAGGGATGTCCCAAGTCACAGTGCGAAGAAACACTGTTTGGATGTTGTCCAGACAAATACACCCCCGCTGAAGGCGAAGACAATGAGGGTTGTCCTGAACCAACTACTGTACCACCTACAACAACCACCGAAATGCCTGAAGAAGAAACCACAATATCCACCGAACCAGCACTCGACAATTACGTGTCAACTGAAATTCCCGAGTCTGCCGAATCTACCGAAGTTCCCGAAACAACAGAGGTCCCTGTTACGCCCGAAATTATTGAATCCTGTTCCTTTGCATCATTTGGCTGTTGTCCTGATGGCACAACTGCTGCTTCTGGTCCCGACTTTGCTGGTTGCGATGTTGCTCCTCCTACCAGTTCTACGGACTGCAGATTTTCTGAATTCGGTTGTTGTCCAGATGGTCGCACACCTGCCACAGGTGCCGACAACCAAGGCTGTGCGGCGTGCACATATGAACCATATGGTTGTTGCCCAGACAAGGAAACTCCCGCTCACGGTCCATTGGGTGAAGGTTGCTGTCTGAATTCTCCATACGGATGTTGCCCCGACAACATTAACAGTGCTCGTGGTCCCGACTTCGAAGGGTGTGACTGCCAGTATTCTCCATACGGATGTTGTCCAGACAACAAAACTGCGGCCCGTGGTCACTACAACGAAGGTTGTGGCTGTGAAAACACTCAGTTTGGCTGTTGTCCCGACAAACTTACACCGGCTCAAGGACCTAAGTTTGAAGGATGCGCTTGTCACACACTCCAATTTGGCTGCTGCCCCGATGGCATCACCATTGCCCAAGGACCCCATCACTACGGCTGTCATTGCTCACAAACCGAGTTCAAATGTTGTCCAGATGAAAAGACGCCTGCCAAGGGACCCAACTTTGAGGGATGCACATGTCTGGAAAGCAAATACGGCTGTTGTCCTGACGGTGTTACCTCAGCACAAGGCAACAAATTTGAAGGATGTGAAAATGTCAAGGAACCACCTCAGAAGGCTTGTGGACTACCAAAAGAGACCGGTCCATGTGGCAACTTCAGTATCAAATACTTCTTTGACACATCCTACGGAGCCTGTGCCAAATTCTGGTATGGAGGCTGCGAAGGCAACGGAAATCGTTTTGAAAGTGAAAGCGAGTGCAAAGAAACTTGTCAGGAATACAAAGGAAAAGAGGCCTGCTACTTGCCCAAGAGTTCTGGTCCATGCACCGGCGACCTTACTAAATGGTACTTCGATGCCGAACGCGGTCGATGCGAGCAGTTCAAATACGGTGGCTGCTTCGGCACCAACAACCGTTTCGATACAAAGGAAGAATGCCAGTCCTTCTGTGCAGTTAGCGAGACGACACGTAAGTTCTGCCGATTTATCTGAGATATTTAATGGAAAACTATGTGTATGTGTATTTGCAGCTCCTTGTGATCAGCCCATGGACGAGGGACCATGTGAGGGTAACTTTGAACGCTGGTTCTACGACAACCAAACCGATGTCTGCCGCCCCTTCCGATATGGTGGCTGCAAGGGCAACAAGAACAACTATCCCACGGAACATGCATGCAACTACCATTGTCGCCAGCCAGGAGTCCACAAAGGTTTGACTATTCTCAAATTGTAGATGCAAATATATTTTATGTAGTGTTAGCCACTGGCGAATGCTTTTGGCGGTTGTGATTATAATTACAAGCTCTCATTATACCCCTCCTCATTTGGTGATGGAATATTTAATGCTCACATATCCATTTATTTTCCCCCTCCTCCCACTTTATGTTTGTCATTGCTTGCTTTTTGTATGCCTGTTATCCCCCACACACATACACACGCTCTCCTTTCCAACTGAATCGTATGAATGTAATGCACGTGCACGATCCCCGCCTGTCAAGTAGATTACTGCTCGCTTCCCAAGCAAGCCGGTGATTGCAGTGAGAAACATCCACGTTGGTACTTCAGCGAGACCGAGAAGAAGTGCTTGCCCTTCTATTACACGGGCTGCGGTGGAAACAAGAACAATTTCCCCTCATTGGAGTCTTGCGAGAACCATTGCCCCAAGGAAGTTGGTAAGGTTTTCCATATTGATAACAGTGCCTGCAGCCATATGTGGAACGTGCCGTGGCGATGTTCAGCAGTTTTGCCTTTGAAGTAACTGGCCAGTGGTCACTGTTCCAACTATATGGCTGTGGGTACGCGTTTGTCGGTCCAACCGACTGTCTGCCGTCTTTTGTAAATACCCATTTGATAGATCGATGTTTGTCAGCTTAGATTGGCAAGTCAGTGTTGTGAAACAATCGTAACCCCGTTCCGTTTTGCAGTAATTATTATTAATTGATGGGTTGTGGTTTTTCTTCTTGTGCCAAATTTAGCTAAGGATATTTGCGAAATCCCAGCCTCAGTGGGAGATTGCAACAATTACGAACCCATGTGGTACTACGATACGAAAGATCAACGCTGTCGCCAATTCTACTATGGAGGCTGCGGTGGTAACGAAAACAAATTCACTTCCGAAGAAAGTTGCATGCGACGCTGTGAAAAGAAACCGGAACCGGTCCCTGAGCCGGAGCCGGAACAACCAGCAGTCATTACCAATGTTTGCGATGAGAAACCGGACCAAGGTCCCTGCGCCGACTATACTCTTGTGTGGCACTACGATAAGGAAAACGATCAGTGTCGACAGTTCTACTACGGTGGCTGTGAAGGAAATGGAAATCGCTTCGAAACTAAGGAAGAGTGTGCCCAACAATGTGCTAGCCACGTCGAACCCAATGTGGAATCGCAGCCCGTTGAAGAACCTTCACTCGCAGCTATACCTGAACCAGCGCCCGCACCTGAGGAACCTGTGGAGGAAAATGTGTGCTTGCTTGCTCAGGATATGGGTGATTGCGATAACTATGTCTCCATGTGGTACTATGATTCGCAGGATTCTCGCTGTACAATGTTCTATTATGGCGGTTGTGGCGGCAATGGAAATCGTTTTGCCACTGAGGAAGAATGTAACAGACGCTGCTCCCCCGAAGCCGCACCAGAAGCCGTACCCGAAGCTGCACCCGAACCTGAGCCAGAATCTGTGGCCAGTCCTGAAGTTGAGAGTAGCAACAAGTGTTTCCTTCCCGTTGCCCATGGCAATTGCCTGGAGAATGAGGTTCGTTGGTATTACAACAGCGAAGATGGTGTGTGCGATCAGTTTGTGTACACTGGATGTGGTGGAAATGCCAACAACTATGCCACAGAGTCCGAGTGCGAGGATGAATGCTTCGCAGTTCACAGCACCTGCCAGTTACCTGCTTTGGCTGGAAATTGCAACGAAACTATGATCAGATGGCACTACAGCGAGAGTGAAGGAAGATGTGTCGAGTTCGAATTCTCCGGATGTCGCGGTAATCGCAATAACTTTGTTACCGAACGGGAATGCATGTCGATGTGTGGTGGTGACGAACCACAAGTACCGGTAAGTGTTAGTGCGGGTTTGGCTACGTCTGTATATGTGATGAGTCTTAATTTTTCGTCTTAATTCCCGTCCTTCCAGAGCTATTCAGTTTGTGACCTACCCTTGGAGGCTGGTGAGTGCGACAACAGTACCACTGCTTGGCACTACGACAGGGAAAGCATGTCTTGCGTGGCCTTCACATATACCGGATGTGGTGGTAATGGAAACCGATTCTTGTCGAGGGAGCAATGTGAACGCCAGTGCGGCGAGTTCAAGGGAGTGGGTAAGTTAATCTTCCATAGTTCTTTAGTAGTGTTATAAACGGGTAAGTTTAATCGCATTGAGCCTCAAGTAGATGTCTGTAACGAGGATGTATCGTCCGGACCATGTCGCCAGTGGCAGACTCGCTTCTACTTTAACAAAGAGACGCGAACATGTGAACCGTTTACTTACGGCGGCTGCCAAGGTACTGCGAATCGTTTCGAAAGTAGGGCTGAGTGCGAATCCCGGTGCATAATTGGACAAGAACCCACGTACAGCGATACCAAAGGTATATCAATTAGCTTGATTATTGTTTATCTTGAAACTGGTTATCTAAATGTCCCCTCCGTGTTATGAGTTCAGATATCTGCAAGCAGCAAGTGGATGTTGGGCGCTGCAATGGACAGGCTCTCACCGAACGTCGTTGGTATTACGACGATGCTCGCGGCAACTGCGTGTCGTTCATTTATTCGGGTTGTGCTGGCAACCAGAATAATTTCCGCTCCTATGAATCTTGTTATACCTACTGCTCAAGTAAGCCCAGATTGCCTGCATGGGCGCCTTATTCCCGCACCTTTGTAGCGTAAAAATAAGCACTTGCACCATGACCATCCACTGCACCAATTAATTAATTTAAATGCACCTTCACATATCCACCCAGTCATACTGATTTTCCCTTTTGCACGCTCACCTTTGTAGTTAGTTTTTAAGAAGCACGGGTAATCTAATTGGGTTATGGGTTATCTTTGTATTGTTCGGGTGACGGGGTAGATGTTATCTTTAAAGATTTAGTTTCCGAACGAAATCTAATCTAACACAAATAATTCCCTTTCCGTTTAAACAGAGGCCGATCCCTCAGTTAACGAGGTGTTGCCCGTCAATAGATGCGAAGAGTACGAAAAGGAATGCTCGGCGCTGTCCTGTCCATATGGCAAACACCGAGTGGCCGTCGACGAGGAATGTTCGCGTTGTGAATGTGACAATCCATGTGCTGACTATGTCTGTCCCGATGGCCAACAGTGCGCTGTAGAGGTTTCCAGTGAAAGGTCTGGAGAATTCAAGCCCGAATGCCGCCTAATCAACAAACCTGGTACATGCCCCCATCTGACGGCCAGCGATGGTGTTTGTGGCCGTGAATGCCACACTGATGCTGATTGTCGTGAAGACAATAAGTGCTGCAGCAATGGCTGCGGTTTTGTGTGTGTACATCCAGCCGTACCTACCAGGCCGACAACAGCACCCACCACCCCCGCACCGGTCGTAGTTTATCCACAGGATGTCAAGGTGTCGCTTATTCCCAAAGAAAAAGCCGAAACAGATGTGAATACTCCATTGGGTGGAATCGCAGTTCTCAGGTGCTTTGCCACTGGCAATCCCGTGCCAAATGTTACATGGTCGCGCAACAACGTCGTGGTAAGTGCACAAAGTCCATCGAAGGTTGGCCCTACCCTCAAGTGAAATTCTTTTTTTAGGTTGACACCAACCAAGGACGTTATGTTTTGACATCTAGCGGTGATCTGACAATTGTCCAAGTGCGTCAAACTGATAGCGGCTCATATGTGTGCTTGGCCAGCAATGGCTTAGGCGAACCTGTGAGACGTGAAATTGAGTTACAGGTGACAGGTATGTAAATGGCCAACCAGCCAAGCCGAGTTAGGCGGTGTTTGGATAACCTTTTACTAACAATTCCTCCTTGGAATGGGCTTTTTGTTTTCATTTGCTTTGTTCTATGCATGCTCTGGTGTTTGTTGCTTTTGCTTTGTTTTCCCCGACACTAACCCTCAACAGATCCCGTCCCAATGCCTGCTTATGTATATGGCGATAAGAATGTAACCCAAATTGTTACCCTGAATAGACCGGCTGTGGTGCGTTGTCCTGCTGGTGGTCATCCAGAACCGATGGTGCATTGGTGGCGTAATCGCAGACGTTTACCCTTGTTGAGTAATCGCTTCGAATTGACTCGAGATTATTCCTTGACATTCCGTTCGGTGCAATTGACCGATTTGGGTCCGTACACATGTGAAGCCTGGAATCGTTTGAGTGTCCGTCCCTCGTCGATAAAGGTAACATTGGTAGCTGTGGGGCCGGTGCGAGCTGCAAACAATGACGAGTCGAAATATCTGCAATACATCATTGAGTCACCAATGGCACCGGTTACCCAAAGACCTACGTATCCATACAGACCCACCCGACCACCAGCAGTACCACCACCATATGTTGTTGGTAAGTGTTCGAACATGACATTTGTATTTGTATGCGGTGTTGTGTCATCTTTTCTTTGGACAATAAATTACGTTTTATCTTCGTTTAATTGCATGTGTAATTACGCACATTGTACACATTTACATGTTGGTATTAAATTAATATTTGTATTCGGCCGTTACATAGAAATTCTTCTGCGTCTACGATTATTCGAAGTCTCCCAAATGAAAAATCGGCAATAATTTAAAGTTCTTGTAATGGAGGATGTTAATGTTAATGCTAATAAAATACTAAAAAATATATGATCTCAAATAACGGTGCCGGTTAAATACCCCAACAGAAGAAAATGCTTCGATTTAAATCTTAAATCAATGTGTGTGAGTTTTAATTAAACTATGTTGCATAACGATTTATTTATTTACATCTAGGGTTTTAGGTTTTATTTATTCATAATACTTATAGACGTTTATCTCTTGGGATAATCTTTTGTTAAACTGATAGTTATATAAAATGATAAACAATGCTCCCATTATTGCTGGGAATGCCGGTGATTTGAACTTAGCTATCATTTGATTGATACCGGCTGATTTTTTTTTTGCCATGTTCATTTAATTTCCAAATCAAAACGTTTTTAAATTATAGCTTATAGCTAAAAAGTTTGAAAAATGCATATCCATATAATTTAGAAAATGTTCGGGAAATGTGGTATAGTTATCCTTCAACGATGCAGTCGAAGGATGGTCAAGATTCGTTGACAAATAATACTCAATGTTTTTTTTCGTTTCTGGGTGAAATTTGTAAAGATATTTTTTAAATCCTGGCCCCCATTTTCTTATTTAACCAGGGACTTATTAAAAAGGCATATGAACTAAAACAAGACTAAATAAAAAATGGTTAACCTTTAAGCTTTATTTTTAGAAAATGTTCTAGTCTTTGACTAAGGAATACCAAAATGATTGCTTAAAGCAAACGATTAATTCTAAAGGTTTGACAAATGTCAACAATAACACCAACTTCAATTTGGAACAATAAAGAAAATACTCTCACAAATACTCCCACGTATTAGTCAGTTAGATTAGTTAGTTAGATTTATGTTTCGAGCTTGATACCTTTATTGTTATGCTAATTTTCCAAATTTATTTTATTTTCTCTAAACTTAGAATGGGTGAAGTTCAAGTCCAACATGGGTATAATTAGCTTTACGCTACTGATTATTTATCAAGATACTGATATGAATAGAATACACCATAACACTGAATCGATGTTTTGTATATACCGATTGGTTTTTATTTGCATGTCGTTTTGTAGCGAATTTAATTTATTTAATTTTTTTTCTGCCATCTAAAATGTTTTTTGTTGCGTTACTCGATACAGTTCCCGTCAACGCTGTCATTGGCAAGGATCCTTCAAATACCTATCAACCCGGATCTACGGTTGCCCTCAGCTGTTCCGTTCAAGGATATCCAACACCAAATGTGACCTGGACAAAGGATGGTCTGCCATTGGTACCCAGTGAACGTATCCAAATATCAGTTCGTAAGTAAAACTATTCACGCAGTGACAAGCAAAGTCAAAATAACTTATTCTGAACTCCCTATGTTCGATGCAGGTGAACCTTATCGCGTGATTATTAACAATGTCAGTACAGCCGATTCCGGTAAATACGGTTGCAAGGCCGCCAATGCTGTTAACTATGGCTTCAGTGAGGAGAATATAAATATTGAATGTAAGTAACCACATCGATCTCTGAAGGCACTTCATAACTCACACTCTGTGTCCTCTTTCTTGCAGCTACTATACCATTGAATCCAGAGTGCATTGACAATGGCCATTTCGCCAATTGCAATCTGATCGTAAGAGGACGATACTGCAAGAACAAGTATTATGCCAAATTCTGTTGTAGATCGTGTGCCCTGGCTGGTCAGCTTTGAGGTTTCTCTGCTGGAGCCCCAATCCACTGACTTACGACAATCTTTAAATGATGCTACATTTTCTATTTGATATGATACTAATCTAATGTAAGAATCACTTGGGGAGACTCCTCCCTCTAGCTATCCTGTCGATCACCTGCAATATCGAAGAGCGCACAAATTCTTGTCCTGACCTTTAGACGAACCAATAATTCATCTTATGCACATTTTCCATTACTTAACCGTTAAGAGTAACCTCAGGCCATCGTAAGCGTTATTTGTTAGCCAAGTATGAATTAATTTGTAGAAACCAAAAATGTATCTTTGTTCCGAACAGATTCCGTTTTGTAATTACTAATTGATGGATATGGTTTGTGTCAGCAGCATAGAATTCAAATTGTAACCGAGTTTATTTTATATATTTTTTTCATATTAACTTTAAGAAATGTTAGTGAATAATTTGTTCCTATTTATTGCCCGAGTCAATAAAGTCGATGCGATCAAGTATTAATTTTTAAATTTGCCCCAAATGAGAAGAATGAGAAACAATGAAAACTAACGAACCCACTTTATAATGAACCCCTAATCTATTTAGAATAATATTCATAGATGAAGCATGTAACAGAAATTTGTGCATTTAATTATAAAACATTTTTTTATTATATATAAACTTTGTAAATAAATAAAAAGATAAACTGTATGAAAATGAATAAAAATGTGTTGAGGTTTTTCATTCATCCAGGTGGTGCTGTATATTGTAAATATGGGCTATTCAGAAAGCGAATTGCTACAAAAAGTACAACGTTAACACATTTCCGGCTATTTTCGTTACATGTGCATCATTACATATTCTTACGTTCTTGGATTTTACTTAATCCCGTGTAGACGTTGTTTTATTTCCCAATACAGTTCGTACTAAATAAAACGCGGGTTCTTTCTGATTACGATTATTACAATGATTTTATTGACACAACTTTACAGCTTTACGTTACTTGACGGTTTCAATTCGCGATCTGATTCATAACTGACTAACTGCCTTGCCATTTCCCCTATTTATATGAGCGTTGCCTGTCGCTACAGAAGTTTCTAGATTTCTGGTAACACCTAGATTACGAACAATCTACCAATGCAACAAACACATACAAACTTACATTGAGTGAACAATAACAACAACACATATACAGGCGAAAGAGGAATTAAGCGATCATCAATGATGACGTTTAACAAGAATTGTACGTCAATAACAAAATAGACAATGAAAGAGGAAATGGAAGAAGGTAGAAAAATCTATACAGTAGTTGTTGTTGTGAAGTTATTCGAATAAACTGCGTAGTAGAAATTTACGTTACAATTCAAATTCTTAAATTAACGGAATTCATCTAAATTAACTTAAGGGGACCCCCCCCATTCTCGAGATCAAAAATTTTGTTGATATAATTCGAATCTACACTAATTAAAGAATGTCCCTACAAAATTTCAAATGAAAATCTCAAGAAGTCTTGAAGATATAGCCGATTTATTGTATCAGCATTAAGTGACGGCTGAAGGGCTTCTCAAACTTTAAACGCGTTTTTCTCTAAACATTTTTTTGCGAATGGCGGGCACGATAACTCAAAAACTAATAACCCAATCGACTTCAAATTTTTACACGTTTCTCTGTGAGTGTGTAGCTATCGTATGAACTAGGATAAAGCCAATCGGTGAAGTTCTTCCTTATTTTTTGACTTGGGTTTTGGTAAAAAATCGGCGATTTTCCAAAAATATTTTTTCAAAGGTCCGCCACTTTGTTAATTTTAGAACGAAGTCAATAATCCTAGTTCATACGAGAGCCAGAGATGTACTCTTTCTAACACCGTTGGAATTTTCGGATTCCGATGTTCCAGTGAGGAGTTATCATGCCCGCCATCGAAAATAAGGACTTTTCTTTAATTACAAAAAACAACAACAAAACAATAACAAAATTGTTTTGTAAATTATTTTTCTTCTCTTTTAAATCTTCAATTATATATGTGTAAAGTTACAAACCTTAACAAGCATTGGTATTGATTTACCAGCCCATTGAAAATCTTGAAATATTAAAATCGAGAATGGGTGGGGTTCCCTTAAATCTAAAGTTATATTCCTAACAATATGGAAGATATATAAATATCTTCCATAAATAGTTTCGTTCGAAAAACACCCCAAGTATATGTAATTCCAAATTTAGTATAAAATGGCGTGTCTCAAATTTTGTTTATATCGAGATGTATTGCAAAATGGGGTAGTCCGTCCGACTTTTGTCCTTTGGAGTAAGTCATTTAGACTTACGTATATATGCCATGGTCTTGTTTGTAGTACATACAATTTCATTTGCTATTTTATGAGTATTTTCTCAAAAATAATATGACCATGTCGGAAATTTATTGATGATGATAATATATAGTGCCGAATTTTTACAATTTATTTAATCGAATTCTGAATTACAATACAGTATAAACTCGATAATCCTGACCTCGCTAATCCGGATTATTCGGTAATCCGGACTGCATTTCACAATTCATTGCGTATCCTATAATCCGGATTGTTTGCAACATGACAATCCGGATTATGTTCAAACATTATTTATTTTGCTTTTTTATTGAAGTCGTAAATACAGTTTGAATTATGAGCAACGAATGTTTTGTTGTTGCACATTCTTTATCAGTTCAGTAGTTTTGCACGATGAAAAAGAAAAAAAATGCTCCTGAAAGAAAAACGTGTAAAGAAAGAATAACATTTCTTTGCGGTTCCAACAAATCCGGTGACCACAAGCTAAATATTGTTGTAGTCGGCAAATCTCGGAACCCAAGGGCATTTAATAAGAACCCTCCTGTAGAATACTACTCCTCAGAAAATGGTTGGATAACAACACATTTATTTACAGAGGATGAAGAGGCTGATACTTTAATTAAAGCTCAACCCGTAGAAGCAAAATATGCTGTTCAAAGTTTAGAAAAGTCAATTAAATGGGCTGAAGAAAATAATGTCGGCATAGAAAAAGTTTTTGTTCTTCATGAATTGCGGGAAAAGGCATTAGAAAAATGTTTATCTAATTCGCGGCAAACAACTATACTTGATTACTTTCCGAAAAAAATGAATGTCGATTTATGTTAACTATGAAATATATATTTTATATGTCTGTACCTATTATATTTTAAGTTTGTATGTTTGAAATGAATTTCTTTTTTAATAAAAACAAAAAAACTATTTAAAATAACACTAATTTAATACATATTTAAAACATTTGGAAAAAACTCGATAATCTCGGTAATCCGGATTTGGGTCTGCAATCAATTATCCGGATTAACGAGTTTCTACTGTATATTAATTTATATCGCTTATAACAACTACCTGTTATAGCGTTTTCGACTATACATACATATATTATTGTTTTGAAATTATTTTCAAGTTTTCGAATTTCAACTCCATTAAAATGTTTTTTCCCAACTGGCAACACGCGTCGTTTGACACATGTCTAACGGTTATGTATGTACTCCAAAACTGTTTTTATCTTCAGCTGATACGACTCAGACATGCGCAATGCTTACGAACATAGATTATTTTTTTTTTCTAAAACAACGCACAATTAAAGGAAAACAACATCAAAATAATATTCACGAAAATTGAAATAAAATTATTTAAATGCAAATAAAATGCCACTTCTCGAAGACAGTGGCATTGAAAGTGAAGACAAATCATCGTTTATTATCGAGGAAGCTGACATGGATACGGTAAATAGGTGTACAAAAGTGTCCAAAGACACGAAAAGGCGAATAAGTTTCATTTTAATTTTTCCATGGACAGAACACTCGTTTGAATCATGACGACACTGTGGACCATATGGCAGAATTGGAAGTGAGCTTTCGGGGAGCAGTTGATACCAAAACTACCTCATACAATGCCAGAGATTCATCACCCACACATCACAGTAGCAGCGACCTAGAGGACAACATAAAACCTCCCAACACTTGTCGCATCTTGCAACGGAAGTTGGAATTGAAAGTTGAAAGGGCAAAAAGGAACTACACCCACTATCAAGAGGAAAATGTAAGCATCGATGTAAAACTAGAACCTCAGTGAAACATTAATCCGCAAATTTTCAATTTAGAAACGGAAATCACAATCGGCAACACTTATACCCATCAATCGGCTACCCATACCTGGAGATGTGGAACAGAAGCCCTTGGTAGACTACAAATCGGAAAGGTGAGTCCATTGTGGTTGGTTAACCATTGTATTACTGAATGGCTTCTCTTTTCAGTGATGAATGTGAGGAGATCTCCTTCTTTCCTTCGCACATGCATAAGAGTCGCATGCGGAAACAAGCTGAACTCTCCGATACCTTCAGCATTCAGGAAATGACAATCGATTCGGATTTGGAATCGAATGATTCACAGAATTTGGAACTGCTAACACCGCATCTGAAGAGAAGTTTTGTTGACTATTTGAAAACTTGCTTTTGCCTACAGCCCTCGAGTTAACGAAACGGTTTCAAAGTGCCGATGTTTATCGCTATATTTGCTTCCAATACTATTTATTATATCTAGCTCTATATAAATGCTCCCTAATAAAACAGGTTTTCATTTACTTTAAGTCATCGAGAATGTAAAGTCTTGTGAAATAAATGGGTGAACGATTTGCTAGGACTGCAATACCCAAAAGAGAATTTGCTATTGTAGAAATGTGTATAGGTAAGGGAGACTGGGGCACCTTCGGCACTTTTTGTTTAGAGCTCTATATCACAGTACTTATTCTACAGATATAAAAACTTTATGGCTGATTATTGTCATCTGATACTTAATTATAAAAACTAGTACCAAATACATATAATAAATTAGTATTAGTTAAACATTTTTACAGTTTTGTAAACTGTGTAAAATTCACCGAATGTGCCCCTACCCGGTGTAGCTTCGGCATTTAATCAGGCACATTCGGCAGCATAGTCATAGCCTGGTAATTATCATTGCTATCAGTCTGGTTGAAATTCAGATCCTCTAAATGTTCTATTTTGTTTTAATACGCGACTCAATGTTTGACTTTTAAGCCTATATTTTCTAGCGGCGGTCGTTGACATCTCAAGGCATTTTCGTCAAAACAAGCACGTTTGGTCTTATATAAGTAATTTTGAGACATATTAAAGGATTATTTTTAGAGACGCACTCAAAAACATTTTAAGGAAATAATATTCCACTATCTGTATATGGCCGAATGTGACCCACTTCAAATGCCGAATCTACCCCGAAAGTACTTTTTATAGTTTTTTAATTTATTTCTATCCGTCTTCTAAAATGAATATATTTTTAATTGTTTTTATAAGAATACTCATTGCAATTAACTACTTTTTAATAATAATTCTTTAAAATTGAAAGGTTTTATACACGAAATACTTACGAAATGGAATGGGATTATTACAAAAACATTTGTAAAAATACAAAAACATGTCTATTTAAATAAGATTATTAGCTAGAGATTTCAAACTTTGTGACAGTTATTTATTTTTATATTCTAAGCTAGTGATCTACGGGGAGAGCTTCATATCGAAAGCGCGATTGTCGAATGTGCCTCGATGCCGAAGATGGCCCAGTCTCCCCTATAGGTTGCCATCGATATAGATTGCAATGTAGCTTATTAATTTGCAGTTTGTTTTACCATCCATCATCTCATTCCGTATGCAACACCTCGAAATATTCACCGGAGACCACATAACGTAAATATTCTTGATCTGAATAAAATTCTATGTCGATTTGTACGTGTCCGCCTGCATATCTGCCCGTCTAGAGCTCTGAAATTTTGCACAAGCATTGCAAGTTATTCTAGGATCTTTGGTATTGCAAATGCAAATATCTGTCCACGTTTTGGTGTAGCCCCCATATAACGGTACCGCCACCCAATTTATTGTTTTTTTAATGCCATCCTCATGGTGTAAAATATTCGACCTGACCGGACTGAAAATCGTTTTTACTTTTTGTATTTATATTTTCATAATGAATGATTCAAAATTATGGGAGAATCATTAAAGAACACAGATAATCTTAACCGAAATGTTAGAAAACAGAAATATGATTTAATTTTATCGGTCTATCAATTGCCACTCAAAATTTATGGAAGCCTAATTATAAAACTTGAGGCTATTTTTTTAAATATAGGCGAGAAATATTCCATTGCAAAATTCACCCATGAGGTTTCAATCAAAATATTCAAAATTAATGGGGACTCTTAGGAAAACTCCATATTATGATAGGACCTTGAACATATCAATAAATAACGTGAGAGAAAAATGATTGAAATGCTCAAAATATCTAATAGTGGTGCTATCGTTGTATGGGGCTATAAAAAACCCTTGATAACCCAAAATACTAAATTACAGGCAGTTCGGTTGGGAAACGTATCCAAAGTCTCCAAAATACCGAATATTTGTGGCGGGATACCGTTACATGTGGTATAGACTTACCATATAGGTTATACCATGGAAACCCAAAATACCGAACGACAACCAATTCGGTTAGAAAAGGTCACCAAAAATCCCCGAAATACCGAATATTGGGTGGTATCATTATATGGGGGCTACACCAAAACGTGGACCGATACAACCCATCGTCTATTGCCGTACGTGCAATTATTGATAGCTCACTATCTCAATGGAAATTATTAACTGGTATTTTCCAGATATCAGTTGATTAAAGAAAACATTTTATTAAAATAATGTCATAATTCTAGCAGTCTTATGTTCAGTATAAAAAATATAACATTCAGTCCCGATTTAATGTCAAACAAACACCCTGCAGTATCCAATGACTCAGGTCTTCTGCTGTGGCCAAATCTGCTTCGAAGACAAGTCCAACGCCCATGGCATTACGTCGCAAGGACGTTGTATAGACTGGAGCACGGAAGGTGTTCTAAAGAAAATTACATTGATCATGAAATAGAGCTACTTAAATTACAGATTGTCAATACCCACTTGTAATTTCAGTCTGTGTGATTCAATCGGAACCACCGACAATATTGGCAGATCTTCGACCAGTACTTTTGGCAACGAACGTCCCAGCTGCATGCGTTCCATATCCCAACGGGCACCCTCAATATGTAATCCAGATATATAGCAACCCTAAAGAGTTGGCATAAATATACATACGTTAGCAGTGTAATGCTCTGTGTCTGATTAGAAATGTTGTAGATACAACTTACCGTTACAGGTCTTTCTTCAATATCGTCTGGATCAATGAATTTCGTTACACACGTATACATCTGAGACCTATCCAAGGGCCAGCCATTTTTGCGACAAGCAATCTAAAAAAAATGTTGGTGTCTTGGTAAAATATGAATGGGATATACTTGTTTTTTAATTACCTGCACCAAAGCCGTTAGGTAACTTTGCGGAATGTGTAGACCTGATAGCCACATGACCAGTGGTTCGCCAGACATTGACCAGTATTTGAACTGGGTAGCACGGCGCTGTACGCATCATACATCCGAGGACAGTGGGAAATAAGTTGGAATGATAAAGCAAATTTGATGATGTTTTGTTTACAAGTAACAAAGGTAGATGAGATTGGACATGAGTAGAGAGCGGTATATGTGTATATTGTAGCTTAGCATTTCTTTTGCGGCTGGAATTGATGTAGTTGGGAGTGAAAGTTGTCGATATTGCTATTGATTGATTTATGATTGCAGAAGGAAGAGAAATGACTGTTGTTTGTTACGACCATGCAACAAACACACACACAAATACATTTTCGTATTTGTTACATATAGGGAATCCATTTATAAAAATAATGTGAGCGGGGATATATGAGATATTTGAGATTTCGTATTTGTATTTGGGGTACAAATCATATATTGGTCTTACTCAAGATTCGCACACTCTTCTTCTGGGTTCGAATTTGTGATCGAACGGAATACCCTATGAGTATATGCCTACTTTATAATATCAGCACTTGAATAGAGCGTTGGGATACATGATAAATGTTGCAAGGTATCGAAAGACAATTGCCTCAATCATTTGTTATGCCGAGAAGTTTATTGTCTTTGTGGTCGTACAAGCCATCAAGTGTGTTCGCATGTGTTCACTGAAGATTTTTTATATTCCTGCACACTGATGTGTGTGTGTGCGTGTGTGTAGGCGTGTATGTGTGTTACTTGGATTACGAAACGTTACCTGTAAATGTTCCATCCAACTGCCCAATTGTTTACATGTATCTGGGGCCAATTTGCGCCAATCGTTGGGCAGCAGACCGTTGAATAATGAATTTGCAATGCTGTCCAGAATATTGTCCATACCAATTTCACCAGCAATTGCCTGTAAACGAAAAATATATATGCATATAAATACAATGTTACTTGAGCTCCAATATAGCACTGAATATGATTTGTCGGAAGGGGAGATTTCCAATGTCTTGGCCTTAGGTTATTCAAATGCATTGTAGAACACTGATACGTAGCCAGTGATGCAACATCAATCTACTCCATTAACATTCAGCACAATATCAAAATTGGTATTTACAGCAGAGAAATGTGTCAATCTGGCGCCACAACCTCATGTGCGCGAAGTGCAAATTCACAGACTTAAGTTGCCCATTGTCAATACCTAAACGAGTCATTTTGGCAAAAATAAATCTTATGTTATAATATGAAATAGATACATAAGGTGTCGACAGATTGCATTGTCACATTTAAAATGTCCAAATTTAAATGTTCATCATTAAAAAAAAGATTTAATTAAATAGTACCATTTATAACATTATGTAGGGTATCAAATATTTTGGGGAAACATTTTCCATTGTCCTTTTGTTATTCCAAATAGCAACTTTGTTTATTTATAGATATTCAAATACTAGTTTGGCTGACGTTCAATAACGAACAAGTCTGGAAAATGTTTTATTTTTTGCTGAAAAGCAAACAACAAAGTCCTTGTTGGATATGGGCATTGACTAACACAAACTAAGGAGGATTTGTGATATCTATGTGTGGGTGTGATGTACGTTTTACTCCTTTGGCTCGGATTTGTTGTGAAATCAAATCGCATTAAAGTTTATTAATGCGCCAATGTTTTCGGAAAGCAATAATTCACGTAATGTCCTGGATAAAATACATCCAAATAGATATGTTTGTCGAAATGAAACGTTATATGCATTTACAACATATACACTAGTGGCCAAAACTAAAGCAACTAAAATTGCAAAGATAATAAATGCCGCATGATATTCTCAAAAATAAAAATAATGTGTTGGTTCTTTCAGTTTTAAATAAGGGCCTTTATTCACTTTTAAGAAAACTTAAGCCTAAATGCAAAGTTGATTTTGAAATAAATAATAAGATATGGAAAAACAAATTGTCTCAAATGTTGCATGGACAAAACTAAAGCAACTCTTCTGTACAAACAGATGAACTCCGACATTTTAATTATTGTTACCGTTATAATTACTATGTTTTGATTTCTACACTTACTTCGACTCTTGTCGATAATTTTTAAAAGGCTATTATTGCAAAAACGATTTTGACTTACTGCTAAAAATGGCTAGAAACAAATACAGTACAGCAAATATGAAAATAATTTCTGACAGAAAATGATTTCGGAGGAACGCTCTATGAATATGTCAGCGATTTCTAGAATTTTAAGTCGGTTTTTGTGCATCTAGACCAGTAGTTACAGTTCTTCACGGAGGAAGGTTGCAAAAGAACATCACTTCGTACTAGTCAACAAATTGCTAGAAAAAACACCCATTTAGGAGTTCAACGGAATTGACGAGAGGGTTATCTTTGGATATAAACTCAGAAACAGAGAGTAGACAAGCTGTGGTCTACATACCTGGAAACCGTAAAAAATCCATTTATTTCTTGAAATGAATCGGAAAGCCATATTGGCTTATTTCAGTTGAAATCCGAATCAATGGAGAAATATATGTTGGAGAAATATGTTCTTGGATAAATTTAAGTTTAATAGTTAAGGCTTAGACGCGAACAAAATTTGCTGTGAGAAGGCCTAAAAATGAAAGACCTAGTATTGCTGGGAAGCACGGAAACGAATCGGAAAGCCACATTGGCTTATTTCAATTGAAATCCGATTCAATGCATAAATATTATATTCTTGGATGAATTTTAGTTTAAGATAAGGCTAAAAATGAAAGAGCCAGTATTGCAAGGGTACATGGAGGAGGTTCAATAATGGCCTTGAACTATTATGAAGTATTGGATCGGATTGTTTATATAAATGTGTTGGAACAGACAATGGTTCCCATCGCTGAAGTAAATATAGCATGACAGTAACCTCAAACATACATGGACACATGTCAAACGTTGGTTGCGGAAGTCAAAACTCATGGTTTTATAATAGCCAGCACAATCATAGGATCTTCACCCTATAGAAAAATATTTGTAGTATCATATGTAGTAAGTAAAAAGAAGAATTTCATAAACAAACAGACATAACCTCTTCCCAAAGATTCAGGATGCAAGGAATAGTATACGCAAGGATGAAATTGAGCATTTTTTGATTCAATGCCTCGTGCTGCTGCCTTAATAAAAATCAATAGTTATGTTGTCGATTACTAGCAAAATTCACTTATTCATAAGAAAAAAAAAAGAAAGTTGCTTTGGTTTTGACCAAACAGGAGTCGCAGAAAACAAGGATATTTTTTCTAATCGTATATGGCTTGAAGTAAAATTATACAAAGTTACATTAAAAATATTCGAAGAGGAAAATGGAGAACGTGGGATCACTCTAATCTATCCTCAATAAACGGATGTGAGTGGTAAATAATTTTGATTGACAGTTTTGATGAATAATGGTGTTTTTGTATCAATATCTGACATTTATTTAAAACTTGTCTTCCACAAATTTATTTAAATTGCCATTTATTTAAAATTTATCGTAGTGGTCCTAATGTTGGGTGTGTCAGCCGGAGTACGAACTAATCGTAGTGTTATGCAGTTGAAACACTATTCCTCATGCAATTTGTAAGTGATCTCGACGTAGTCTTTGTTGACTTATTTGTGTTAAACAATTCTAACCATATGCTTAACGAAATATATCTTGCCTCTCTACAATTTATACTTTACAAATTACACTAAAACACTACCGAAACTGAACTCACAGGGTGTTATTTAGCCAGCCAGCCAACCAGTCAGCCAGCCAGTTGTTCGTTGGTGGTTGGATGCCACACAAACTTTAATAAGAAAAGTTTAATTAAAAGAAGTAACTGAAACAGTTTCTCATTTTCAGTGATTTTTGCATATTCGTGTCGTTGCATGTTCATGCAAGTGATTATGTGCAAGCTTCCGGATGCAAGTCAAAGCTGGCATTTGCATTTAAATGATTTTTGTTACCTACGATTTGGAAGTTGGTTGCAAGTAGGACGTTCTCATTGAGTTCTTTCCCTCAGATTTGGGCGTAGTGCGTGTGGTTTTTATTTCCTTTTTTAGTTTTGTTTTTGTTGGTGGAAATAAAGTTGCAAATTGCCTTGTAATTATTCAGGTGATAATTTGTTGTAATTGCTCTTACCTTTCTTAGCAACTCGAGAGTTTTCTTAATGCGCGCAACGAGAATATTGAAACGATCCAATTCTTGAAGTAAAACAATGCCCGTCGGTGTGAGACTCATTTGAATCTGTTTCTTGACACGCCACGTTTCGAAAGCTGCTGGCAGTTTATCGAGAATATCGGCGGCTACATTGTCGATGAAATCATCTCGAGTAAGACCGCCCGATGCATCACCTATGTAATATCAATAACATATTAATAATATCAATAACATTAATGTGTGTAATTTTGAATATTCAGATATTATAAATATTTTAGATACTTTAGTAATTCCATCCTCAAATAGAGCCTGTTCGAGATATAATTTTTTAATGCGGTGGACCTATGTCTATTGTATTCTCAAAAAAAAAAAAAAAAAAAAAAAAAAAACAAAATAACAAATTATCAAGAGCCCAGCATTTTAAATTATATGTCCATCGGTTGGAAAATGCGCCTAGGATTGTGAAAAAAGTGAAAGGGGTCGTGACCTACATACGAAAGATATGTCTGTCGGTGAAATATTTTAAATAAAGTTTTGAAGTGCTTTTCGAAATTGCTCATGTTTGCAGCATATTTGATAATGACGGATACATCGGCCAACTTTTGGAATTGACTCCATATGTGTCAACATCATTTTGTGATGTGACTGCATTTCAAATTCGAATTCTTATAAGGTAGAATATAATCTGCCAGATCGTAGAATATTTTATAATACGGTTTGCATTGATGAGGCTGTGTGGCTACATCATAATATAGAAATATGATGTGGCCATCGTACAAAGTACAGGTCGCATTTATGATCCGAATTGAATGAAATTTGGCACAGCTCATTTATTTGGCTCAGGGACGAACCAAATTGAAATTGGGAAAAATTGGTTCAGATATAGATATAGCATATATATATATATTTTCGTCCGATTTTTTATAAATGGTGCACAAAAGCCCCACTATTTTTTTCGATTTCCACGAAATTTTGCATAGCGTACTGAATCGAGTCTAGAACAAGTAAAAAAGTGTCAGTCGGTGTTGCCGACAGATATATACCCTCACCCTATGGTATGTGGAGGAGGTATTCGGAGTTATACACACGTTTTATTATTCGTTTTATATAATGTACATGTATAATTAAAGATGCTTCGGATTTTATGTTGATCAAAGGGTCAGTCCCTTTTTGTAGGATGTACCAGATGAGTTCCGAACTTCGGTCTTGATATAGGCTTGGTAAAGATAATAGGTTGTGCAAAATTTGGTTCAAATCGGGCATTCCATTCGCCTAATATTGGATTTATAAATATTGAAAATGTTGACCATTTGTGTGGGAGGTACCAGAAGGAGTGGATCAATGGGACCCATCTTCGGACTTGATCTAGATTTTGTAAAGATAACAGGTTGTGCAAAATTTGATTCAAATCGAACATTCCATTCGCCTGATATTGGATTCCTAAATATTAAACATTTTAATCCTTTGTGTGGGGAGGTACCAAAGGGGTGGACCAATGGGTCCCATTTTCAAACTTGTCCAGGCTTAGTAAAGATAATATGTTGTACAAAGTTTGGTTTAAATCGAACATTCGATTAGTCTGATATTGTATTCGTAAATATTGACAATTTTGACCCTGGACTTGCTAAAGATCATAGTTTATACATCATTCGTTCGGATAGATCGTTTGCATGTTATTATAAGTTTGGAAGAAATATTAAGATGTGCACATTTTCTGAAACGGATTTAGTTCAAAGAAACATGGGGTCTTAAACCAATATTTCGATGAGGCACATTTTTTACGTATCAAAGCGTATGTACCCTCATTAGCCATAAGGCTGAGGGCATAATGCTGTGTGCTAAGTTGCGTGGAAATTGGCATAGATCTAGATTAGTTCCCATATATATTTTCGTCCGATTTTACATAAATGGTGCACCAAAGCCCCTATATTTCTTTCGATTTGCACTAAATGTTTCATAGCGTACTAAATTAGGCCAAGAATGATGCAAGTCTAGAATTTTGTAAGTACTAAATGGGACCTACAATAACGTGTATTGGATTTTTTTTAATATTAAGATGTATATATATGTATATATTCATGTAAATAGTGACCCAAAAAATTGAGATACAATGCAACTTTTTTTATAGAGTTCAGAATGGTATTTGTATGTGTTGATTTAATTTGGTTCAAATGTCTATATAGATCACATATTTAATTTCGTACTATTCCATTATTTTCTATCGGCAGGATATTGAGCATGTGAGCAGCTCTTGTATGTACCCAAAGTGGTGAAGGCTCGGTCCGTCCGACTTTTTAACTTTCCTTACTAGTTTTTACACACGATATGTCACAATTTATAAATTAAATAACTAAAACTAAATAAACATTCTATGGATTTAATTCTAGCAGCTCCAAATATGTGCCAGGCCGGGAACATGCTTTATTCCTATGTTAAGATGTGAATTTGAAATTACCTTTCTCCGAAGGAATCCATGGGTCAGCTACAGATTGGACATTTTTAATGATTTAATTAACGTCTAATTATTAATATTTTAAATGTGTTAGTATTGTATTTATAAGTATTAGATTGATAATTTACAAATTGTGTGTTTTCGATGTAGATTATTTAATTTGTCATGTATTTGTTGCTATCGGACCTGAGACGCGATTCAGGGTGACCGAATATACGAAAAAGATATATCTTGTGGTAACAACAAAAAACGAAAATCTGAACACTTTTAGTCTTTTTTTTCTCAAAAAATATTTAAAATTGTATTGAATTGAATGAATGAATGTTTGATTATTAATAATTAAAATTAGGTTTATTCCAATTAATTATTTAAAAAACACTAAAACTTTTTATGATTATAACAAATAAAGGCATTCGTGGGATGTAACCGGTTATTCTAAATTGTGTGTGGCTCTAAAGCTTGTGATAAATTATATATTTGCTTCCAATGACTCAAACAAGTTTTCAAAATTTCTTATACATTTTGAAATGTGTAGTGTAGATTTTTTTCGAATATCCTCAAGATGTTATCTAATCGCGTGTAAAAACACATGCAAATATTAAATCCTCAAAAAAGTCATAACCCTACTGAACACACACACACCTACATTTGTGCACTTTCCAACAGATACATTACACTGGTCTACAATTTATTGATGTACTGACAGTGCCAGCAACAGTTAACAATGCGGTGCAACGGCTATGCCGATAATGATCTTCCAAACCACGGCAATGACAAGGACGGTAATGGTGTTAGTATTGGTGGTGCCAATAATTATGATGACGGTGTCGTTGGTGGAATTTGTAATAATGACGATGCTGGCTAGCTGGCTGGCTGGCAATGCATCACCGATGGCGGTGCAAGTGGCAGGCGGTGTGCAATAAAGTTAATTGCAAAACCACAACTAATTAATTAAATTTAATTCAATTCAATTGAATATCTATAATAAAATATGTATGAATTCATTCATGTTTTATGTGCATTTGTTGATGTCCTTGTTGTTGTTGGTATTTGGTATTGTCGTTGCTGTTCTGGGTGTTGTTTTTGTGTCCATTTGCCTTTTCACGTGCAATTGCCAGCCGTGCTAACGATTATTTGTTGTTGCTTTTGTTATCGTTCGGCCGTGATACTGAACTAATAACAAAAAATACAAAAAAGCGAGTCAGTCAGCTATGCGAATGCAAATTTTTGGTGGTGGCCAACAAAGTAATTAAAAAAATAAAGGATTACTCTGCGGTTGGTGTAAAGCAATACGGCAAATTGAAAGGACAGTGCAATGGCCGCAAATGAGTGCTAACAATTGCAGGATTAAGGCGACATGCGATTCAAACTCAATTCAGTGGTGACCGTTTCAACAATGACTTACCGGTTTGTGGCTGCAGTTCTATTAACGAATTCCATATGCTTCGCGCTGCCTGTGTGTAGTAGCCGATTTCGGCATTTGGATGTAAACCAAAAACGTCTGGCTTGTTGACAAGTGGCAGTTGATCAATGTGCGCTGCGGAATTTATTGATGTTTCAAAAGGGAAAAATTAAAAAAAAAGAAGAATTTATTTCTTTACCAATGAAATCCTCCTTTTGTACCACGTCTGGATCAGGTAAGTAATAGTCGCTGCTGTCATCTTTATAGAAATGAAACGGTTGCGAGGAGTCGAAAAGGAAATCACCCATATACTCGTCCATATAGCAACGTGTTATCCGCCGATCAAAATCATCGATGACACGCCCACCGTACATAACCTAAAAATGTGTGGAGAACTTAGACTTGAAAGACGCTAAGTTCAATATCTATTGATTTACCTCTCCGATAAGATATTTTAAGCTATTCCATGGTACTTTGTCATCGGAGATTTTATTCAGGTAAGTTTGTAAGATATCTAAGCAAACATTGAAATCTGATTCGTTAAAATCATAGCATATATTCCAACCAAGTTTGTCATATTTACGACGTTCCTGTAAGAATAAAATAACTGTCAAGGATAAATCGTTCCCAGAAATGGCTTATAAATTATATTGTATAGTTGTATATTATAGTTAAAAACATTACGTACAATTTGTACCGACCGATTAGAGGTACATGACAGAAGATTAAACATGCCATAATAAGTGTACAACGTGTGAATATTTACTATTACGTGTGAATATTTACTATTATTTTGTAATATTTTTTAACAGATATTACTAAATAAATGTATGTAGTAAATAATCACGGAAAAATATTTCATTGAATAAAATAAATACTAAAGTCGTTTCGTTTCAACAGTCAAATGATTTTGAGTCGCTTTACTATCTGCTAATTGACATTTTTCCCGTTGCCCATACATTTTTTCGAGTAACTATTTTTGCAAAATGATTATTGTTTCGAATTTTGGTCTCCAACAAAAAATAATGAATATGTGAGTATGCAATTTATTCTCATTATTTTTGCGAGTCAACAATTACAAGGGCCACATGTTTAACGAAATAATATGTAAGTGATCAATTATTATTGAGTGACCAATAACAGCTATCCTTTTAGTACTTACTTGCACTACGCCATGGAAAAATGCCAGAACATAAACTAATGGCAGGAACGCTTTGTGCGAACAGCTCTCCAAACGGTCCTGGCGTACTTTGAAAAATGTGGATCGTAAATTCAGTTTCAATCCGTTGGGCGGTTCGGTGACAACTGAAAAATGCAATAGATGGAAACAATAGAATTGAATGAATATTTTATGTAGTTTTTAAAATGGAATATATTTTAATGTTAACATCTAAGAACGAAGCATTGGCATCTTTGAAAGCGTTATCGAATGGTAGGCGAAATTAACTTACCCTTTAAGGATTTCTGTAAAATTCCAATTGGAAAATTATCATTAGCATCTGTAGTAATCCATAGACGGAAATCGGGATGGGGAGCATCGATTTTTTCCAAATACTTTTCCAGTTGTCGGACAAAGCTAATTAGTAGATGCCCATTTTGCAGCATTAGCCACATGCCCTGTCGTACAGCATTGTCCAAAAGAGTGAGAGCAGCCTACAGCCGACATGTTAGGATGATATTTAAGCGGATGACTTGCATCGAAGAAAGTTCTTATTTGCCGTAGTGTGTGTGTGTGTGTCTATATGTATGAATAATACTATGTATATTCATCCCTCTTGAACTCGGTTGCTTTTATTGCCGATATATAAATACGAATATATAACAACGTCGAAAAAGCATAAGCAAGAGCAAACTAACAACATAGGTGATTGTTTTTTATTGAACACCCTATAGATTTCACTCATTCCTCATTCACTTATTAGCTATGTACACCGTATGTCGTCAAAAGTTCGTGACTGCCAGTTGATGTCTGATATTCGAGTAAGTATGTACATACATACGTATGAGAACTTGTGATGAAGTGCCGGCACAAAGGAATAAATCGTCAAATGGAAGTAACTGACACTAGCGTTACTATCACCGACTACGATGATTATGTTCATATCGAGGACAGTATGCAGATAATGAGGAATTTTAAACATGTTATAGAACATACCTCTTGAATGCATCTATATGTGCTATAAAAATGTTTTTAATTTATATATCTTCCACAACCTAAATAATAATTGTAGACCGAAGGAAGTCTATTTATAATCAACGTGATATTATGCTTGGCAATTGTCGAACTTATCATATCGGTATGAGGTAATATAATATAACCTAATTTTCTGATCACTTGTTCTTCTCATATGGAGCTTTTGGGGGTGTTCGATTTTATTAACATTTTTATAATAGTAACCCGAGGGAGTTTGTCAGTCTCCTACCGGGCGCGTCCCCAGGTGGCGGATAGGGGGAAGTTGGATGATCAGACTATCTCATTACTATCAGCTAAACCCTGGAGGTAAAGGAATAGTCTGATCACCCCACTTTAGGGCTTTTGCCCCGCGGACCAAAACTGACTACGGGGGTGTTCCCTTAAAACAAAAAACAAAAGATGGAAAGTAAGGAAGAAAGAATAAAAGTTACGGTGCAGAGCCTAAATAACTCAGTACCGGCGGGTGTCGTTGATCTGCCCACGAGTCACGCCCCGTCGTCATCCAGCGATCGTGAGCAAAAATCTCCTACAGATGTGGGTGCCTTGGCATCTGTAGTCGAGGGTATTGCTACAAGCACTCAGCCAGCAGGCACAAATAAGGTAGACTTCAGTCACCACCGGGGAGGCGAAAGCCTGACCCAACCTTCAGAGGCAGGTGGGGACTCGAATTCTAACTCCGGGTCTGACCAAGAAGGTAAGACCGATATAACCGTCCTAGAATGCCGGAAGAGAGAAGAGGCCGATAGGATGGTGGAAGAAGTGAGCAAGGACATAGCAAAGCTCACAACAAAAAGAAAGCAGTTATCTGGGGCACAAAGGCGAAAACTGGCCAGGATGAACCGGAGAAACAAAATCAAACAGGAACGGGATGCCCTGAAGGATAAGCCTGACCTTCCCTCCACTTCCTCGGAAGCGGCGAAGAGGATTAGGTCTCCGGAGGAGCAGACCAGTGCCAAACCTGCAAAGAAGAAAAAGAGCTTCACGTCGACCGATAGCAAGAGAAGGCTAAGCACGACCCCTAGTCAAGGAGGCTGTCCACAGAATCCATCGACTGAGGTTGGCGAAGCTGGCTCTAATATCGAGAAGACGGGCGCTACACCGAAATCTTCCGATAAGACTGGGAATCCCAAAAGGAACGCCCGGTCTTCGCGTAAGAGGAAGGCAGTAGCAACAATCGGTAAGGAGCCGCCATCTTATGCAAAGGTTGCCAGAAAGCGTTACAGGGACGAGCTCTGCTATGCAGTAATCGATGAACGTAGCGCATTCGGTAAACTAAAAAAGGAGACGCATGATGAGGTGATGAATGCGGTCAACAAAAAGCTCATGGAGCACCTGCGGTAAGGAGGGGAGCCCATAGATCTAAATAGCTGCGAATTCAAAGGGGATTTCTTAATGCTGGAGTTCGAGTCTTCGAAGAGCATAGAGGTCCTCAAGAATTTAGTGGCAAGTATTGCCCCCACGGACGAGGCAATCAAATTAAAGCTTGTGAGGAAGAGAGACATCCCACACCTACAAAAAGCTACGGTCTTCGTTAGAGGTTGGGGCAGCGACTTCACGACAGAGGACATGCTTGAAGTCTTTGGTCTACAAAACAAGACACTGCTGGTGAAGAAATGGGAGGTCTTCCACAGGGAGGAGAACAAAGACGGGACCCTCCTTGTGTTAGGCTTGGACAGGTCTTCAATGGCAAGTCTGGCCAAGACTAAAGGCAAAGCCCACTACGTGTCAAACGCTGTCTACTTCAAGATCGGGAAGGCGAGGATCGGAGAAGAAGAAGCCAAAAAGACCAGCGAGGGAGAAAAACCCAACAATAACGGCGAGGGAGTCGAGGAGAAGACAACTGACTCCCAAGAAGATCGCCTTTTGGATGAAGAATGATCGAAGTCATCCAAATAAACCTCCATCGGAGTGAGACGGCAACAATGGCTCTGATGGAAAAACTAGTTAAAGGTAATATACACATCGGTCTAATCCAGGAACCATGGACTGTTAAGAACAAGGTCTCTGGATTAAACCACATAAATTACCAATTATTCTATGCAAATACAGGTTCCCGACCAAGAACCTGCATAATATGTCACAAAACTAACGACCTAATTACTCTTAACATAGGCAACGAACCTACCTTCGTTAATAGAATTAGAGAAGAAGTATTAGACATAACAATATGTTCAGCAAACCTAATAGACGAGGTACAAGAATGGAGAGTCTCACATGAATACTCCTTCTCGGACCATAGATATATTAGGTTTAAAATCCTACGGCCACCGCCGAAACCCATATACTTTCGAAACAAGTCCAAAACAAATTGGATAAAATTAGGAAAATTACTCAAAGAAAGGCTAGGGCAACATAACTATGACAGCATAAGCACTGACGATATAGACAAAAATGTCAATAACATAGCGGAAGCAATAGTACCCAAGCCCGGCAAGGCAAACTACGCAACACCAAAAGCGTATAGGCCAATTAGCCTTACTTCATTTCTACTTCATAAACAAGGCAAATACGCAACACCAAAAGCGTATAGGCCAATTAGCCTTACTTCATTTCTACTCAAAACCATGGAACGAACAATCGACACCATGACAAAGAGCAGCATCCCCAATGACACGTTGAAATACAAACAACATGCGTACGTAAAGGGGAGATCAGTGGAAACCGCTTTACATGAGGTAGTACACCACATCGAAGGAACTTTCGATAAGAAAATTTACACTTTAGCAGTCTGCATTGACATCGAAGGAGCCTTTAATAATGTCAGCACCGAAACACTTATCCAATCCTTAGAAGCCTTTAGTGTTGACCAGGCAATTATAGACTGGGTCAACCATATGCTAAGGAATAGATGGATAAACTGTAGCCTACAAGACATAACTATCAGGGACAAAGTAGGACAAGGGACACCGCAAGGAGGGATACTGTCACCACTCCTGTGGGTCACCACTATCAGTAGTCTCTTAAGGAACTTAACCGAAGATGGTTTTGAACCAGTCTGTTATGCAGACGACGTTATAATAATTCTAAGGGGAAGGAACCCTAACTTACTATGCAGGAAGGCTGAAACGGCGTTAAACATCGCCTTTAATTGGGCGAAGCCGAGGGGTCTAAACGTAAATCCGGACAAAACGGAAATATGTCTCTTCACTAGAAAGACAAAAATAGGACAGTATGAAGAACCAATCTTTCAAAAAAAAGTTATAGCAATATCAAATAAAGTCAAATATCTTGGTGTCATCCTAGATTGAAAACTTAGATGGAAAGACCACATACATCAACGGGTCGAAAAGGCCCATAGATGCTGGTCTTTCTGTAGAAGAGCCGTGGGCTCTAAATGGGGATTCAACCCAAAGATGGTACACTGGATCTACAAGAGCGTTATTAGGCCAATTCTAACTTACGCGTCTGTAGTCTGGTGGACAGCAATAGACAAAAAATGTAATGTAATAACATTACAGAAAGTCCAAAGAACTTGTTGTCTAGGCATATGCGGGGCAATGCGGACAACACCAACTAGGGCACTGGAAACTATACTGTATATACACCCAGTTGACATCCAAATAAAATACGAAGCGGCCATCGCAGCTTTAAGACTTAAAACCATGAACGAGTGGATCGAAAACGGACACTACACACCGCACGAAAACATACTGCAGGCTACGATCGGATACTCAATTAACCACTTTGAGTCAGATCGAATACCTGAAACAAGAGCAATCACGTTGTGTGAAATCCTGATAGCGGGAAAGACGGGACTGGGACTCTTTATTGAAGAACCGGGGACTGAAATCTCACTTCGCCTGCCAGATCACAACACGATCCTACAGGCGGAGGTTCAAGCTATAACGGAGTGTCTAAGATGGTTAAGCTCTAACTCTGGGCATAATAACATAAACATCATGACAGATAGTAAACATGCTATTAATGTAATAACATCCAAGACAGGTACATCAAAAACTGTACTGGAATGCATAAAAACAATAAACAACTTCTCACGACACGGTCTTGTACGTATAATATGGGTACCGGGTCACTCAGGAGTCATAGGAAACGAGATAGCCAACCAACTCGCCAGACGTGCTACGGACCTAATCAACATAGATGTGAACAGTGCAAAACCTTTTAGCGCTTCACGTCTAGAAATGAGGTCATGGACGAAAGAGGCGCACAAAACACCCTGGAATAACGAGAGGACTGGAAAAAAACACAAAAATCTTATGGGGAGACCCAAATGAGGATAAGACTAAGCAAATACCCACGCTAAACAAGAAAGAACTAAGCAGACTGATGGGCATTCTCACAGGACACCTTAACCTGCAGTCACATTTACACAAGATTGGGTGTTCGGGAAGCAGCAGGTGCAGAGCGTGTGGGGAAGACAACGAAACGTTGGAACATTTTCTATGTCACTGCCCAGCTTTTGCATTCATCCGAACCCAATTCTTGAAAACCGACACTATTCCTGAACTTAATGACCTAAGGGGGTGTGAATGGAAAATACTAAAGGACTTCTGTAAAAACACAGAATTCCTAGAAGAATAGGGAGACCAAACAAAAGACTTAAGAATAATTCCAATCTAAATACCTTTCCTTCCTAGAGCGCACAACAGGCCTACTATGGCTTATGTGTATGTCCCATAATGGACATGTGGTGGCTTTTAAACCACCCCTCTTTTCAAACTAATAATAGTAATAATCGATATTTGGTCCAACGTTGCATATCTTAATAGTACTCGTAATATCAATCTCCTTCAAGAAAAAAAAATTAATTAAGGTCCAAGGTCCCATGTATATTTTATAAGTCTCAATAAAAAATAAGTAAGGTCCAATATACATTTTATAACTCCCAATAAAAAATATCCTGAATTTGAACTACACATCGAACGCCAACCCTCATATTTTCAACTAATTGAGTTCGCCTCAGTGGCTGTCAGCGATGTGCTAGTTTGTTGTTTGGTTATTCCTTCATAGATTTATTTATTTGTTTGTTTATTTGGCTGTACTCCTCCCTATCCCTTTATGTTTTGTGTTTCTATTGTTTATTTGCTTTGACAGCAAAAATAGAAAAAAAACAACAGAACAACAAAATAAAATTGACACAATAGACGTGTGTTGGGCTAATATTCATTCGTTTGCTTCATCCAATGGATTTCAAGGATATCATGAACCCATCATCAATACCACTCTCTGTACATCCAATACACAGATACCGATGCGTATTTACTAAACAATGTTGGAGTAAAAACCAGACCAACACAGCTATACCACACAACAATAAAAACGCGGTCATAACGTGTCGTTGCCGAGTTTGTTAGGAATGAACTCCTCATTTGTAAACAGTAATTGTTGTTAGTGTTGCCTCAGATGCATACACATGCACATACATACTTATAAACACACACCCACACGCCGCATGGATATTCAGTTAGATTTGCACTTACCTTTTCCTGTCCCTGGCCCAGAGAAATGTGACAAAAGTTAGCCAGGCCACCGCCAACTTGTTCTGCTAACTTCATCAAATCACTCGTCGGATCCGAGCCGGCGCTCAATATGAAGCACACGGGTATATGGCATGTCGTCTGTTCGTAAATGGCTGCAAAGCTCACAACCGGTGGCATAATGAAAAACTCATCCATGGTGTCGACAATATACTGATTTATCGAACGGAAAATTCGATCGACACGGAAACACCGCAAAAACATTAATTTCTTTAGTTGGAAAAACAAGAACGGGAGAACAGCAGGTTAGTCACGGGGCGACGATGCGATGCAGTCGAAGCAAATAGCACGAATGTAGATATAGGAACTAATGAACCACAATAACAAATGCAAGTGGCACAAAGCAAAAACGAAAAAGATGCAATTTCTTCTAATAATCTGGAAAATCTGTGACAGTCGATAATGAAAATTTATTATCGTATGCTGAAGGGTTATAAAGCTAGTCAGGAACAAGTTTTTCTAGTGGATAGTCTTATTTTCCAAGAAAAAAGAAGCAATTGCAAAAAAACGTATCTATCATTTCAGTTGTGTGTACATTAGGTTTTAGGATTTTATTTTAATTTATCAATAATTGGTGTCCAAATATTTCGCATTCGAAGCATTTTTGTTCGAGTGAGAATATGATGCCGATGCTCTCGCTATATCTGAATTTATTAAGGATGTTTTAATGAATACATACACTGAATCTTCGCATTTGTTACGTTTAGAGGAAAATTAATTCAATTTGTCCTATTCCAGCTGGAACAAAGATTTCCGGTGACCACAACACACTTATGGAAATCATAAATTTTTATTTCTGAAATATTTTTTTTATTTATAATGTCACAAACACAAATGCAAACAAACATACTCGCACACACACACAACAACAAATGCCAAGAAAAGCCAACACAAACAATCATAATCCACAAAAGGACATAAAATATCGTAAAGTGGAATCCAATTAAGTGTCTGCTGTTGTGTGCGTGTGTGTACAGTGGTTGGAGGACGGTCTGAGGTTGTGTTGGTGTACGTATTATTTTCCATTGGTCCGTCCCATTGGACAATTTAGTCAACCGATCGATGTTGGCATTTTAAAGTAGTTTGTGTGCACGAGTGTGCGAATGCAATACAAAATAAAACGCCTGCAGAACAGTAAAATAAAAATCCTTAATAAGTTTCTCTACGGCAAGTTGCAGCTGGGTCGGTGCTTTCGACAGCATATCCATTCACAATAAAATACTTAACTTATTGCATTTTCAAATGCATATGTGTGTGTATCCTTGCCTGTACCGACTTGTGAGTGTGTGAGCGAGCAGTATTCAGCTCCTAATGGAAAATATAATATTTCCGAGCTCTAAGCAACATGGACAAGAATAGTGACAAACGGAAAATAAGTGGTATCATCATCAACATCACTATCATTGCAAAAATAATAAAAAAAAAAAACGAATAAAATATTTGAGTGAGCACAGTAATTGGAAGGAAACCAATGCCAATATTATTAACAAATCTTAATTTTTGTATATTGAGTTCGTTTTTCGTTTGTAATTCATCAAAGTAACCATTTATGACCCTATATGTTGTCAAATAGAAATTTTGAATGGTCTTTTATCTGCAGGTAGGTCAAGTCCGGAGATTGACTATATTCATTTCCAAAAATCATTTGCAATATTCGTCCAGATTTGATACAGTTAACCATAATCACTCCGTATTCAAAATTGTCACTTTAGATCCTACAAAGTACATATATTCAATTTCGGACTTTATCAGTCTACGTTTTGGCATTGCCCACTATAACGATATTCACAGTTTTTTTTTTTATTTTAGAAGTCTTATACAGTTCTCGTAAACTAATTTTCTTAAATTTGATATTTTGTTTATATAACGAATTAATGTATGGTTTCTGACTTAGGGACAAATCTTCTGTATTTTATTTTATTCAAAAACAGGATTTGTCGAAACGATGTTGATGTAATTTGACATTGCGTGTTATCATTGTTGGCAAAATTGTAATACCAGAAGTAATCAATATTAGTTTATATTTAGATATAGGTGGAGTCTCCAATTCGCTGAATTTTGTTCCACCCTCCAAAAATTATCAATATCGGTTCACGTGAGGGGGTTTTTAGAGTTTTGAGATCTTTCGAAAAATTCCCAATATCTCAAAACCACCAAAGAACTATATCAGACTACGGATTCGATTTTTAAGGTCTTCGATATTTTGATTAAAAAAATTGCCTATATTTGGTATTTCTTTTCCATGGTTATATGATTCTCTTGAAAAAATGTTTGTATAGGTCCACTTTTTTATACCCCTTTATATATGAATCTCGCCCATTATTCATTACCTCATAATATGTTCCATTAATGTCAGTACCCCCTGGAAGGAAGTCAAAAGAGGCTGGGACCGAGTAATTTTGGTGCGCAGTGGGTTACAAGATCTCAGTGGAAGACATTATGTTCTTTTTTTAATACCACCCTAAATGAAATTCCTTCCCGGGATTTTTTTGCATCGGAAGTAGTACACATCTATAAGGGTTTGTTGCATTTAATTGCAACTAACTGTCTGTATCTCTTTTTACTTGTTGTTACTTAATTTTCTGATTTGTTAAATTTTGAAAAACAGCCTATCTCGTTTTGTTATATCATTTAAATAAAATCGGACAAAGTTATATGTGGAAGCAATTTTTAAATTGGAAAAGATTTCATTCAAATCGGACTAACTAACCCTATACAGTCTAATTGCAAACACTGTGCAATGGTATGTCGACATGTGTACTTGTAGTTTTCAAGTGGATTTTGTGGGAAGCGCATTAACTTGCCTGAAAGTGTTTGCAGTTGATATTATATTCCCTCGGACAAGGGACATCTTCGGGATTTTCTAAATCATACCACTAGTACGGCAGAATACCATCCATGACGTCAAAGGCGTAATAGATGAGGTTGTGGTTTTCAAAAATGAAAATTCAATTCGCCCAAAGGAGCAGCAGCGGCAGTCGTGGCATTATAATGACCAGCATGCACAAAGCGAGAATAGCCAATGCAGAAAATTCAATGTTCAATGGCAAAGCCATCGGTTTCCGCAGCCATGGCAGGATTTGACCAGCAATCATCGTCGTCATCGTCACATTAGAGGACCAACATTCACAGCGACAGTCGGCAAATATCGAATGTCGTACATACGAAAAAGACGAATTTAAGAAGAGAAGGAAAATAATGCGTTATTAATCGATTCTATTGCGTGTCATAAATATGTAGAACTTCTTCGAGCACATACGAAATACATAACACTTATTCGCGTCACCGAAACTATTATGTTGAATTCCAACGAGTAGAATATCTTGCAAAATACATTTATCTCCATGTGATCATGTTTGGGGAAGCGCACATCTCACATCTATTTTGTAATATTAATTTAGGTTAAGCGCGGAATAACAACATAATAAGCTTTTAGATTTTTTTTGGATGTGCTCGGAGGTTTATGAAATGCTCATTTAATTTCTCACCTCTTTCCATTCGTTGGGGTATTTGGCAATGTGATCGGGTAACGATTCGAACGGCTGGGGAAATTCGCTTGCCAGCTTCATTATATCTTCCCAACTTTTGTCGGGCAGCCATTTGACCGGACAGGGTCGTTCGCTTTTTGTTAATGACACAGATCCCTTGATGAAAAAGTCCAACTCTGCTTGACTAAGCTGACCTTCCCGTTGAGCTAGTTTGGTGGCAATTTGAAAAGAGAACAACAGTTTGTGACGTTCGAATATGCCGGTGCAGCCATAACTGTAGACATTCTCCGTGAGCGTCTTTATGATGTTGTTGAGACGTTTCGAAAGCACAGTGTCCGGGACGGACTTTCGCAACGAAAAGGTGAATACGTCTAGATAGGCTGCCAGTGCGTACTGGTACATTGTGTTGACGGTGGACATGTCGGAGAGGGCAAAGAACAGAACTGCACCCCGTTTGGCCGCCGGCCTGTAGCCATCTCGTAGCTTTTCAATATCTTTTTGTGTTTCAGCAGATAACACCAGTTGTTCCATGACCACTGCTGCCTTGGACTTTGTGTTCTCCAATGTGTCCACCAACTCGACATTGTCCAACATATTGCCCGTTGAGGTGGCCAATTCCCTCAGCAGGGAGTCCTCCAGTTGTTGTAACAACTGTTTATTTTCACTTGTTCTGGCTATCAGCGTTTCGCGTTGGGCTTCTAGATCCGGTCTTTCCGCTCGTACAACAACGCTCAATAGCTGATCCTCCAGGCCAGTAAGTGTTACAGTGTAGTTAATAACCATCGCCTTTGCAAAGACGGCCGGATCAAACTTAGGATTAGAGAATTTTGTGGTCAAGTACATTCTGAAGTTTGGGTCATAGTCGACATCCTTGTCGCCTAGCATGACAAATTTACGCCCGCTCACTAACTGAATGTTCTTTTGGAGGACATTGTCTATCACAGGGTCAATGTAGTCGTCGACGTCTTCGAAGAGGACGGGAATGCCGTACATGATGGACATTTCCAACTGTTTGAGGAAGTCTGAATCGTTGAATGAGAGAACTTTCAGGTGATTCTTTTGTTCCTTTCTCTTGATCCATGTTAAAGCCTGTAGCTGAGGATCGATGCATAATGGGAAACGTGATGCCCGAGCTGTGAGTATACCGTTTTGAACGGACAACTCGTCGGGAGGTAGGCCTTCTGAAGTCCACGTGGATATTTCAACATCGGTTGTGAGGCTTTCGTCAATGTGAAACGGCGTTTTAATGGGTATTTCTTTTTGGATAATGTCAGGCAACCAGTCCTCAAAGACCATAGTCTTGCGGAATTCCCACGAAAATGCTCCCGTGTATGCCAGGAAGGAAGCACACAACAGACATTGGCCCAGCATAACCACCAGTTGCTGGCCATAGTTTTCAAAGTCGTGGCTCCAACGAATACGTTCAGAACTCAAGCCGCTAATCAATTTGTCCGAAGCAATCTAGAAAGATAGGCATATATGTGTTAGTATCTCACATTGATGAAAAGAACTAGATTGGCTCACCAGTCTTCTTTCAGCCGTCTGCATCATCTCGGTTAAAACCTTCATTTTCTTCATTGACTCTGCATATCGGTGGTTTAGTGAGTCCAGCTGGGCTTCCAACTTTGCAATTTCTGCATTCAAATGGTTCAGAAGTTTGATCTGCTGTTCCTGCTCAGCCACCAGGAAGTCGACCCGTTCCTTTTTCGGCTTTACTTCCTTGTAAACTTCGTAGAATCCAATTACGGCTCGGACGAACTTCAATAGACCAGCACCAGCAATGGATATCTTTTCCATTTCATCCAAATGCTGGGTTTTCATGTGATTGCGGCACTGGTTGATTTGTTTGCCTGTCAGAGCCTCACAGTCCATTTCCATGAGGCTCTTCAGAAAGTTGACATCAGACATCATTCCCTTGGCCGTTTTCCAATTGATTTCCTTGTAGCCCTTTAAAATGGCAACACATTCGCATACAACCTGAACCTGAGGAGGTGGGGTGGCGAACGAACGGATTTCAGTTATTTGAGCCTTATCCAGTTCCGAGAGAGCTCGTCGAGCCTCTTCCAAGGCAGGCATTGCTTCCGCCAAGGCTTCTTCGGCGTCTTCCTTCTCAATTGCAATTTGCTTGCCCTTGATCTCCACCTCTACGGACTTTTCTGATGCTTCGGTTTTCTTGGTATTGGCTTTTTGCGTGGCTTCCTCGATTTCTATCAACATCTGCTCGCATTCCTCCGATGCAATGCCCACCTTATGTTTCTGTTCGGTAACCAATATTCGAAGTTCGTCGATTTGTTTGGACGCCTCGTCAATTTTGTGAATGCCTTCGTGTAGACGGTCTCTCTGCATTGTTATGAAGGCGTTTTTCTCCTCTATACAAAAATGGCAAAATGTTTAGGAATTCCGCATAATTCTCCTGAAATCTTACCCAATAGTCTTAAGTATGTGTTGATGTAGTCAAGATAATGCTTGGGCGTAACATAATTGTTGCGCCGGAGCTTTTGCAAGTAGTCCTTGGAGTAATGATGCATGCTACTGTGCACATGAACGACATGGTTCATAATGCGTTCGCGTTGAGTGCCAGGAATCTAAACAACATCCGCATGAAGTCGTGGTAAGATATAGAGTATACGAGGACTTTCGCTTTGAACTTACCAATTCATGTTCACTTAGAAATAGCTGGGCTACTGCGGCTAGTGCCTGCCTTGGCCATGGGAATACCCAATCGATGTAGGTACTGCCTATTAAGCCCGGAAAATTGCGGCAACGATTTCGTAAAGCATCACCCGATGGAGACATACTCAAAACCACGTGCATATTCTCAGAACATTTGCCCAAAAAATAGGTCCATACCGAATCTCTGAAATGAGAAAACGCCGATTTTAAGCTGAGAATAACATCGAGTTAAGTCGAGTTTTACTTGGAGGCAGAGAAGCCTTCCTCTTCGGCGGCACTGCGACACGAATTGACAATAGACTCTTTTTCTTCGTCGCTGAAGAGGGCCGGAACAAGACCAACAGTCAGTATGTTATTGATGAGTTCTAGAAATCCTTCTTCCACCACCTGTAACAAATATCGGTCAATTAATGTAATTCTGTAGCCATTGCATGTTCGTCTACCTGTGCCGCTGTAAAGATGAAAACCGTTTTCTTCCGCTGCACACCAGCCATGGTGTAGAGAGTCTTCAAATCTTCCCGGAATGATTGTTCGCCATATCCCCTAGCCACAGTGATTTCAAAGACTTCACATTCCGCCGCAAATGCTGACAAGCGACTTATACACTTTTTACCGCTTCCACCAACGCCCACTAACAGGACATGACCGCGGTGCATTCTCAGGGTTCGATGTACCCTTGTTAAATGCTCCAAGCAATCCTCGAACAGAACTAAAGGCATGTTTCCTCTACGTTCTTGGTATTCATCCAATATCTTATGGATCAAGAGAAATTAGCTGGTAAATTAAAGATCGACATCGGGTTTACTTACTTCGTCGTAAAGCGCATAAACTGCCTCGTAATCCAGGAGATCCTCATAAAACCTCGGTTCAGATTCATTGACAGCATTACGAAAATCGCCGAATAGTAATGGATCTCTCATTACGTATTGAACTAACGTAAGGGGTAGATCACCATCGACGTCTTCTTCTTCATCGTCGTCCAGGTGATCTATGCTACGTTGCGGTAATCCTAAAATCGGAAACAGAAATCATTTTCGGGAAATATAAATGATTATTTTATCAAGGTTTGTGACTATTCTCAGAAATCAATCCAATGACCTAACATGTGGTGCCTACGAAAAGTATTTGCTATATTTCAAAATCGACATAAAAGCGATAATGGCTCTGGGATTCGATTCCAGCTGGGTTGCTATGTCCGGACTGGCGCGCACGATAACTTGCACAGGGGCAGGCGTCTTCCAAACTTGGAAGTTGAAAAAATCAATCGATTTTTTTACTATCATGCGATTTGAACAACACTTTGAGCATCGAAATAGGTTTACGAAACCTGAAGTTGAAGTTTGTTAATCCGCGGAAATATTTTCTAGATCAGGTTGAAAGATGAAGCCTATCGGTTTTCTTATTCCGATATTTTACACAGGAAAGCCAGAATTACAATTAAAACATATACCTTATATTAAGAGAATGAGAATCTGATTTTGCCCGAACTTTGTACCACTTTAAATATATAACATTTATTTGATGTATATACGTCCATATATATATATCTATAATTTTATAACTGATAAACCACTATTTATTAAACTATAACTATTATTAAATAGACACTGCAGATAACGCCGACAGATATATTCTAAATAGTTCAAAAAAATACCAAAACTATATAATCCTTACCTGGAATAACAATTTCCGGTTCCGCAAATCCATTTTCAATTTCAAAATCAGCTGGGAATGTTTCATTCAATTCCTTCTCCATGTGATGTTTCATCAATTTCAAATCCTAATACCAACGATAGAAACATTATCTCAGAATAGAAAAAAAAACGAAAAATAAGCAGGACACATAGGTGATATGTGGTACGATTTGGGTTTTACATACAACTTGTCATCGATTATTGCAATCTGTTCAGACATATTTATTTGTTTTTCAATTGTACACAACCTGAAGTTCGACGGGCGAAAGAAAATTCACTTTAGTTCGTCTTTTTGTATTTTGCCGATTCAGTCAGTCAGTCAGTCAGCCACCCATCCATCCATCCGTCTGTATTAAGTTATAAATGTAATTGATTGTAATCTTGGCAGCGATTGTTACCAATTACTTCAACGGAAGACGTTGTCGCTGTTATCCATGCAGAAGCAGTCTTGGTGCCAGTCTGTCTTCATTAATGTTGTACTCAATGAATTATGTTGCTTGTGTGTGTGTGTGCTTGGGATACATCGAAGTTTGCGGGTGGGGAATGCCCTTGTTTGTTAAGCATTTTAAATTAAAATAAAGGTAATTCAAAATCAATGCAAATAAATTGAATCCAACAAGACCTTCGTGCCCTTAATCCAAATATCTACCGACAGAGATGTGAACGAAATCAATCAAAACAAATAATTTGCATGTGTTTCGCAGCAATCCGTTGTATCGGCTCCCAGCCACCACCCCACGCATTCGTGTGTGAGTGTGTATACATACGCCTGTCAAACAAGGAGATGGATGCGAAATTTCATAAGCTTATTTATATATGCATATGTATGTCTGTTATCAGCGGATACATTGGCGTATACCTGAGGACATTGGGGGTAACAGTATACACCAGCTCTTAGTATTAACTTAATCTCTTCAAATTACTTTCAAATGCGGCATGTGTCTCAATGATTTTGTCATACACCGGAGAAAAAGGAGATGCTACCCGGTTTTAGATGAACATTTGGAAAAATCTATGATAATTGGAAATGTGTGATGGTATGTACGTGCTATTTATTTGGATCGGATAATGTCTATATTGTCTATTGGCACCCGTAGCAATTTTTTCGAGTGTATTCCATTCACCTTGCACCTTGCATGTCCTTGGAACACTTACCGCTTCAGAAATTAAACGGTCGCATATAATGCGTGTAAACTCATTACGCCATACACGCACCAGATTCCGCAATGTTTTAAAATAATTCGAGTGTATCAGCAGCATGCCGGCAAAGATGCGTGAGAGATCCTTTAAATTGAATATGTAATGGAACTTCGATGGTGTGGGAGGCAGTTCGGCAATAACAATCTGAAACGAAAATGGGGCAAAAGAGCAAACCGAGAGGAAAATATTTTGTCAATAGTGGTAAGCAGGCGACAAATCGAAGGAAAAGTTTTTGTTTGGTAAATATTGACGAAAATTGCTAATGAAGGGGAAATAATCCTGTCAGAAGGATGTGCCATTAGATATGTTCCACTTGGAAAGCAAAATGTTTCGAAAAGTATTTAATGACCTATGACCTTAAATGTGGTAGTGAGAAATCACTGGGGCTGGAAAGTGACAATGTGTCAAAGTTCGTAGCGTCATGTACGGAACGGATGTTGATCAGGATTGTTGTCAGCCACCACATTTCTTAGGTTAATATGCTAAATGTCAGGTTGGCATTTTGGTGTGGCCGTCACCGTTGTAGGATAACTGTCAAAAGTTTATTGAATAACACAATCAGCAATTGTTTAAGAGCTATGGACACATCACACTAACTTCCGTCATACGGTCAATAGACGTGTATATATGAGTGTGTGTACGTCAAAAATGCAAACTCTTAGCCAACATTACTAATAGGAATTTATACATCAATACCAATAAATAGTGAGATAGAGAGTATGCCCACAAGGCTCCAATATGGATTGAGAAACATTTTCAGGACTGTGAATTATGCAGATGCAGACGCACATACACACACATGGTTATTCCTTTTGACTGCAAATTATATTCAATACCATCCGCTCCTATATTGTACGAATGTTAATGTGTGTGTGTGTGCAATTGTATGACATTTATAATGCTCATAAAGACAGTTTGCATCTTTATGGGGTGTTGTAGCATTAATGGTATGTGCTAAACACTGGACTGTATGGGGAATTTCAATTTTATTCTTATAACTCATTCTCACTGCTTTCGAAGTCGTTGTACACTGCATTAATAATGCCAACGACAAACCGCATAAAGAATGGCATCCAGTTGAAATAGAATACAGTGGAACGGGAGTTCAAATGATCGGCCTAACTAAAACTAACGCTTGGAAATGGGTATTACAAGGCGATGTTACGTACGGATTTTATTACATAGGGACTGCTGAAAAAGGACTAAACTATTTTGTATAGGTTTTTAGGGATTGCAATTATGAAATTTTTCTATGGCATTATTTTACACCGAAATAATCAGCAGTGTTATATGCTGTCGCATATGGTAGATGTGCTAACATATTTATTGGGGATTGCTGATTATAATATTGATATATCGGCGAACATATTTGAGTTCAGTTTGCATTGCGTTCTAGATGTAGGCCACCATTCCATGTTATTTTTTCGTTTAATGTCCATTAAATATTAGTATTCATAACTGACGAAAAACTAATTTCATCTTGCCAAATCGATCGATATTTGTTATTTAACTTTTTCGATTCTGAATATTTAAGTTTCAAATTAAACGTTTAATTGAATTACTATTATTTGGTACATCGAACTTAATTCCGACTGTGTACTGTCATTGATATGGAAAAAACAAACATTGAAAAATATATTCTCAATAATAATTTAAACAAAAAATAACGTATTCACTATTCAGTGTAAATACCAATTGAAGAATTGAAGGCACAAAAGACGGGGAGGCGGTGGAGATGAAGGAAGACGAAGTAAAATAAATGTTACCGACTACCATAATATTTCAGTGACAAGAATTGCTTAAAGTACCATAAACTAATATTTCACAAGGTATTCAATTGAACGACCACAATAGCTTCTTCGTTGAGTACTTGTGGCCATGTTCCATAAATGCATCCACTCATTTCCTCTTTTCTTGTGGAACGCATTCAAGCGTAAATTTATTAGGGATTTTCCCCTCCACGCCGTCCGCTCCGTTCCTTGGCCAACGTACTTAAGATGTCACTCGAAGCAAACGGAAGTAAAAAAGAAACTGTTATTTTGGTTTTCCTTTCTGACTATGTTCAATATAATCGAATCTTCTTGACCACAATTACAAAGGATCCACCTAAAGAAAGGTTGCTGCAGCAACTACAACAATAACATGTGATGCATCAAGCTCTGCCAACAACAACAAATGAGGTTTCTCCCGGGACAACGGTATTCATGACTGCAGCTGAATTGTAGTGTGGAACACTGAACAGTCCAGAGGCTATGTACACTGGTGATGATGTCGATGTAAGTATTTGTGTGCGAACCCATATCTTCAGCTACAACTCGATACTGTTCTGTTAGATTTATTGTCGTTCTCAACCCAGCCAGTATAGTTCGGCAGCTCTGGCTCAGTATGGGAGGAGGAGGAACAAACGTTTTTCCGTTGAATGGCTTTTGAATAATTTTCGATTGTAAAATAAACGATTTGGCAAAGATTATGAAAAATTGATGTGATTTGCATATGTAAATCGCTTGCCATAAATTTTCTACTCACAACATCGTCACAAATTATTTACACAATTTTTCTTTGAATGAATGTTTGCTACTGCGGAGGCAAGCACAGTCGTTGGGCCAAGACTACGATGGCTGCTACCAACTTACCTTGAACAATCTCAAAGTCATTTGAACAATGATGTCAGCAATTGGCAGAAATTTACTCTCGAACGAACTGCTATACTGCAGGTGGCCTCTGAATATTGAGGTGTAGATCTGTTGCAGGGACTCGTCGTTTGGAAAGACAATATTGTAGACCGAAAACATTGATATAAATCGGGGATCAACTTCATTGCGTCCCCCGCCAGCGCATCCCATGGCCGCATAGAAGGATATATCTTTGAATTTTTTCCATGACAGATCCTTTTCCCGGTCGTACATGCCACCGCGTTCGAAGAAAAGCTTAAGGAGAGCAATGGGTTGTTGTGTTCCGTATCTGAAAAATTTAGAAAATACAATTGAATATATGAGTAATTGTGAAGTACATAAAACAACGTCAAATATAAATATGTCCGTCAGTCACTCAGCTATTTAAAAAATATTAGCAAAATGGCATTTCATGTTGTACATCGAAATGTCGGCTTTCGGCCCTAATTTTTTTGGTTGGATTAAAAATATAATATGGATGAGAGCAATAAAACAAGTTTAAGTTCTAGTAATAGTTTGTTTATGTCATACACTTTGTCCTCATAATATTTGGTTGTGATTTCTATGTTCTATTGTATCGGAAGTAATGTTATTTGATTTTTAAACATCGTTTGAATACACCTCAATCACCGGCATAGACATTTGTTATTACATCTTCAAACTACTCCACTCTACCCTGCACCATTGAAGACATGATAACGATATTTTGCACCTACCATTCATATGTACTCCGCGTTCAACATTCATGTCGAAGATGTAACTTATGGTCGATGTTCGTACTTACTCATCAACTTGCGGCATATTCATGTCATCAATAAAACATGCAATCTTCTTTCCCATCGGTGGGCCGAATGTGTCTTTTGTGCGCTTCTCAACAGCTGCCTCCAATGTGCGCTGCACATCGATGGATGAAGTCCTCGATGAAAAATTAATATTCAATAAAATCTGTGGAAGGAGATAAAAGGAAACAATATTTTCGTCATCATTGCCAGGCATTAATGTTTGCACAAGGGGTAGCATTGCAGGTAAGTGTATAGCTTAAGTATTGTATGAGTGGCTGGACTGATTAATTATTATCGGTGAATTCGAGACAAATGTAATTAACAAACATTACAAAATATAGACTTAGGTCTGCAAACAAAACAAAACAAGTTAGAACCTCGTCGTGTCCGACCAGATCCAACATTGTATAGCTGTCACGAGGTGAATATTTTTGGATTAAACCATGGAAAATCACTGTCAGGTTAAAATATGTTTATGAAATCTTCAAAATACCGAAAAGTTCTGGTACCGATATATTGGGAGGAAGGGGTGATTCGGCTCGAACGATTTTAAACCCAATTGTAACCCGAACTTTCTAACTAGAGGTTAAACAAGGGAAAAAGCGTTAAGTTCGGCCGGGTCGAACTTTGGATACCCTCCACCATAGGTATACTGACAGTGGACCATAATGTGAACCATGTTCCAGAAATTTTTGATTTCATCCAACCTGTGCCTATCTTATTATTTCTTCCAAACTTAGTTCAGGTTCGAAGATGTGGACTCCTTCTGATACCTCCCACACAGGGACTAGGCCTAAATGCGGTTTATAGTTCATGTATTTCGATATCCTCCGCAGGTTAAATGATTACGACAGACTCTTAGAACCAAACCCAAAACCCGGAACAAATTAGATAAATATTTTAGTATAAAAAAGGGAGTTATATGGGGACTACTCCAAAAAGGGGACGAATATAAATAATTTTTGGTAGGGAGATTTGTTACCATATACGACTACTAAATACAATATTGCAGCGAATTCGGTTGAAAAACGCGCTCAAGAAGTCCAAAATACCGAATGGGAGCGAATATGGGAGCTATGCCTAAACGTGGACCGATCCCATCTTCGAACTTGACCTGCCTGCAGACAAAAGACAACCCTATGCAAAATTTCAGCACCCTATCTCAATTCCTTCAGAAGATAGCGTGATTACAACAAGCGAACGGACGGACATGGCTAGATCGTCTTAGAATTTTACCCTGATCAAGAATATATATACTTTAGAGGGTCGGAAATTAATATTTCGATGTGTTACAAACGGAATGACAAAATTAATATACCCTCCATACTATGGTGGAGGGTATAAAAATGTGTCCCAAGTAGCCAACAAATCGAGATATTCCAATCATTGAGGCTTCAGTGGGTAATCTTAAAATCTCATAAAATTAAACATTTTGGGGAGTGTTACTAAAAAATCAATCGAGCGTATATAGTCAGATTCATGTAATAGGCTTGGATACACAATTCTGTAGTAATACTCACATTGACATCCTTGTTGAGACTTCTCAGGTACTGTGATATAATAGCCGTTTTCGATGTACCAGCTTCACCAACCAATAACACGGGTCGTTTTATCTTCCAAATATATAAAAACAAAAACAATCTTAATAATTGGTAGGAAACAACACTCGTTATTAGACCATGCAGACTGCACGCCTCTAACAATACTCGACTGTTGTTTTTTGTCGCAAACAAACAAACTTACATCACTATTCAAAGCCAACGTGTGCACCGTTCGTGTGCTGTCAACTGTTGGCACCAAAATTTCACTGAATTTCATTTGTGGGTCGTGCTTGTACTCTGGCACTACCCACTCCCATGCCATCCAACAGTTGTTCTCGCGGCAATAGAAATATTCGTATAAGGTCGTTTTGCTCGTGGGTAGCTGTCCCCCCGACGCTGGCTTATCTTTGGAATCCTGTACACAGGGAAAGCCGGAGATGCGCTTTAAAAACTCATCAAAGACTGTCTGATCATGTTCAATTAAACAGGCACCCAATGACGAATAAATGCATTGAATAAATCCGCACTCCAGTGCATCCGTATCGTAGGCCACCGGTGCTGGTGCTCCAAATGCCAAATCATCCTGCTTTTCGAATGGTGGCAGCAGAGCATCGTACATGTTGCAGAACTGTACAACCATATTCAATTCCGTTTGCATGATTACTGTTTTCAGGGGATTACCTTGCGATGTGCCATCCAGGCCTTCGTGAATGAAAGCAATCGCTGGTGTTATGATTTTTTCAAACATATCCTAAAAGAGGGGGGAGCAGAGTAGTACTTGTATCTATGATATGTTTTGTTGATAACATATCATAGATACAATTGGGTTGCACTCACATTCAGAAGTTCTCTTTGAGACTCGGGTCTGGTTAAGACCCACCTTTGCCAATAGGGGCTGTAGCGCAAATTCTTGGGATCAACATATACCATTCCGGCACGAGAAACAGTTGCGGGAGAAGCGTAATTTAAATTGCCAACCTGTTGAAAATATAAAATACCGAAATACCTAAGTATCGTGTGCAATTTGGGTGTTGTCGTGGATGCTTAATTTTAAGTTGAAATACGATTTAATCATGTGGTCGATTGCATTTGTACATATGCTAATTGGGCATACAATACAAATCTACACATATATATTTAATATTAATTCGATTTGGGGTTTCCTCATCTCCCTGTAATCGTTATACGTATAGCATTCGCAATGTTGTGTTTATCATATTTATTTACTTTTCTCTGTGTATTTATGCCAACTCTTTTCCATAATTCTTGATTACACAATTTGGTGTTCAATGGATGGAGGTAACGTACCAAAGGTTTGATCGATTAAATTCTACTATTTTCCAATCTGATAGCATTCATCTTAATTCAATGCAGAAGGAACTGTCGTACATTGTAAGCAGATATCTGTCAAAAAGTGAAGAATCTCGCTTACCCATTATTAATGTAGTCATCTCTGTTCGTAACAATCATTGCCGGGACACATGCCGACAAAGCGCAGTTGGTGAAAACTACTCCACCAATTCTCACTGTTGGTGAGAGGCCCGGTCGTGGAATGAGTGATATAGATTTCACATTATTTACTTTGTCTAAAATGTCACACAATACTGGCAAGAATGTGAGGGAGTGTGTGTGTGTTTATTTTTTGTTTTCTGGCGTTTATGGTACTGTTGGCTGGTCTTGAAACTAAACCTGCTGCAGTTTAATGTTGCTAGTATACCTATCCTCCTGAGATAAAAATCTCCCTGCCAGTACACAAACAAAAACTAAACTCCCTATAATATTGAGTGTTTCCTCCTCTTCTACACCAAAATGGGAGGCACGGTTGTTTGTTTAGCTTCACTCACCTGTGATGCTTGGGTGCATCATTACCTTTCGTTGGCCCCTTCTCACTAACTCACCTCGAACAACAGAGCGCAGTAGTTTTCCAATCTAATACGTTCGCCATTTGCTAATGTCAGCAGCTTATTATCATCCATAACCGAGTTCATGTTTTCAATCCATAGCGCATCAACGTCTCCGTCAAAACAGACATAACGGCGTTCCTGTGGGAATGTGCATTAAACTGATTGTATTAGTTACAGTTTTTTTGTTGTGTTTGTATGGGTGTTTGCTGTAGCATGTTGCCGTCTTTCCCATGCAGTGCCCCATCATCTCATTTGGAGCGTTGTTGTTTCAGAACCACGCCATGAAGTGGTTCATGAAGAATCATAACAACGCCACCCGGCCAACATCCAACATCATAGTTTCGTTGCAAATGTATTAGTATTATGTGATATCGTATAGAGGGGTATGTGTCTAGATGTGTGTGCGACTGTGCGCGACTTTAATCATACTTATGTAAGCCGTGATATGGCAATGCTGATTATGGATGGGAAATGCTCTTAACTTTTATGTTGCAATTCTAAAAAAGGAGATGTAATTTCGGAGGATTTTTAAGCCCGTTGATGATGATGTAAACCTCTGAATAGGAAAACAGAAACGTCTATTAACTTTTTTGTGAAAGAAAAAGAACTACCGTGGTCGACCAACTCATATGAATACTCTTATTGATGTAATTAATAAGTAAATCAAGGAGAAATCGACGAATTATTTCGATGCTGTGTATACGTGAATACGTTATGGAATTTACATGAAGCCATAGAGGCATTTCACAATCTTTTTAGGCTACATTTCCTTATGAGGTCCTTAGGGTTATCAGACCAGTTATTAAATCAAAACATTACATTTATCTAATTAAATTAAGATATTTGCTGCATACTCCACCTTTGCATAACCACGCAAGCATTCAACAATAAAATCCGCTCTTCCTTGCATCATTAGGAAATGATGCAACATAAACCGAAGGAAATGGAATCATTAAAAAGTCACTTTGCATGCAGGAACATCTCATTTAGCGACTACGTCCGTGGGCCACAGACTCATTGGTTATCCTTCCCTTTCCCAGCTGGAATATCAAAACGTTGCACGACGATACATGCATGCCACACTATGACGCAGAACCGCGGGAGGGATACACAAACTTGTGATTTTGCATCAATATTATTACAGAGATGCATTTGTGACTTTGTAATTGGCACTGACGTTGGTTGCTGCCATTGCAAACGTGAGCTTTGTCAGGATAGGAACACTAATCGGAAAAGGAGATTGTGGCGTTGCATCTGCAACACAGGCGCACACATTGCACCCTCATATGAAAACATACTCGCCGCTTCATGTTGTACGGTTGCGAATGAGAGATGCAAAACTCATTCCCCGCTGCCTCCCGCTCCCGCATTGGTTGCCTGCAGGGATTAAGTCAAGTTGCCATCTCAATGACACCACAGGTTTTGCCGTTTGTGTAAGCTTAAAAATTAGATAATATGCAAAATACTAGAGGATCTCACATTTCTGCCACGCGTTGATTTTCTCTGGCTGTTGACAACAAGGCTGTTGCATGAATTTGTTATTGGTGTCGGCAATGATGACCTTTTCACGTTACATACTTAGCAAACTGTTTTGACATTTATTTGCTTTGATTTTATTAAGCAAAATTGTTTAAGCATTGCAGACTTCGACAATTTTGATCAACACATAAATGGAAAGTGAAAAGAAATGCGTTGGTGTGAATTATTTTTATGAAACTAAAGATGTTTAAAATTTCGTATTCCATCTTCGTTCCATATATTGTTCTACTGTGAATCGTATGATGTTGGGCTGGTCCACACAGTTTCTATTTTTTCTACTTGTATATGTTTATGGGTCGTTGGTTGCATGTATTCGAATGAAATGATTTCATCGTATTCGTCTTATTTTAACTTTTTTACCTTTTGAAGCATTTCAATACATTATCATGATGGATGTCTGGTTTCGAATATCATGGGCGAAATCGGGTGTATATTTCTCTAACAATCCAATACTTACGTCACGTTCTATTGGTTTATTCATCTCTCGGAAAATATTCGAAAACAAGCCATCCAACCAATCACGTGTATCCGGGTCCAGGTATCCGTATAATTCAATTACGGAACATGCCTGTAATTAAATCGAGGGGAAAAACACAAAATGCAATGAATTGTTTTTTATTGACATCCTTGTAAATGTCATTTAATTAACACCCTTCCCTGTTTGCACGTTCCCGCACGAATGCAAATTGAAATGTGTCACTAAAAATATTTGAAACGCATTTCAAAATGCAAACCACACACATTAAAAAAAACGAAAATACAGGGAAATGTAAAAGGTTTAGTTGTTTCATTTAATGGTCGATATAAATACACTATTTGTATGTTGCCGGTTAGTTTGATTTGCAGACATCAGTAGCTAGATTTTGTGAAATCAACCAAAGCCAAAACATTGATGAATAGTCTATAGTATACCTAAATTGGGACCGTCCGATTTCACAACAGCAGATGAAGTATTTGGTGTTAGCTATCATATGGGAAATACTAAATTTTAGTGGAAGAAGTGTGAGTCGGTCTTAACGACATATATTTTAGTATCCGTTAAAAATAATTGCCATTAACGGTTTTCAGCTAGCCACGTATATACATTAATTATATAATATGAAAATTCAAATTAGTTGAATCATTAAGGATTTCATTTAAATGTCAATCGCTCATCAATTATGTTAAATGCATTGTGACTTCTGACAACTAATTTGTCTGTGCTGTAATTATGATCTAAATGAAATGGGTTTTTGTGAAAATATCGTCATTAGTGGTCAATAAAATATGACATTGTATTAAGATATTATACATAAGTGATTTTGTGATATTAAAGTCTATTAGATAAATTAACAAACTGCGAAACGCGTCGCATAGTGGTCCGTAGGTTCTTCTCCTTGACTCGAAAGAGTATAAATAACTCACTTATATTTTTTTTTATATCTAGACAATATATATCATACGAGTGGGGAAATCATCAAATCAAAAATAAAAAAAAAATACATTCGATATATGTTTGTTAATATTAGTCCAGAGTTGGAGTCCATGTATGTTTGGTCAACTGCGATACCGATTCTGCAGCCCTGGAAGTAACATATACTCATATTTATGTTTTAGCGCAACGCGTAGAAATCGTAAAAATTCACCCTTTCCTGTCAAACTCATTATGAAAGCAATGCAAAAAGGGACAACGAAAGGAAACCATCTCACCATGTCATGATTGTTACTTACCTTCGGGTTAAGTGTAATGCATTTTGTTGGCAGACCCATGTAGGTTTGAGCCTTAATTAGAGTATTTATGACAACCGTTTTGCCGCCACCTGTTGGACCAACAATCATGGTCGAGTGTCGGGTCATCATCGTTTCGTACATTTGAACTACTTTATCCTCCTGAACGAGACAGCAAAGTGGTACGACATGCAATGTAAAAAAATTGGAAAGGACTCATTAGTACTAAGAATAAAAAGTAGTGTTATGGTAAATAGAATGGACTGACAGATAAACGAAATTTGTAGGAACCATTGGTCGAAAAGTCATAACAAGGAAAATGCTGTGATAAGTGTGTGTGTGTGTAGCAAAAAAGTACAAGAATCTATTGTCAATGCTTGTCAATCCACAATCTGCCTTCTTTGATAATTACAAGTGTTATGTAGCAAAACTAAAGCAATTAACATAAAAGGATATGGGGATGGCAATGACAACCAAGTCAAAGGCAAAAACTTGTAATGGCCAAGGATCAAGTACCAAAGGTATTTGCTGTTCTTCTGCTTGTACGTGTGTATGTTCACAAATAAAAAACTCACCATTGATCAAATCTGCTTTGATGTGGAAATCTTACTTAAAGAATCCTGTATTGAAAGACTAAAATATAAAACCATTATCCTGATACATTTAAATCTAGACAGAGCTACATACATATGTGCCAGTCCATTATCTATAGTAAATAATGGATTAAAACGATAGATTATTAAGTATAAATTTATGTTTGCCATACGAATCCCAAACGGCATAATACCAAAAAACATATTTCGATTTTTGAAACTACATATATTATGGAGCAGGCCATACGGTGTTAATTCAGGCACTATGTTTTTCTACAATCTTTAATGCGTCAAAATGTCTACGCCTGTTAGGTTGCACGAGAAATAGCCATCAAGGTATTTTTCTTTCTTTTGTCTTGTCATTTCGTACCGTCCTTGATGTGGGTGTTTTGTTTATCCCCTCAAAATCATTGTTAAGTGTCAGGGATAATAATGGCAAAATTATGACATTGTTGTTGGCAACGTTTGCACAGTGTCGAAAAATTACAGTCTCTTTACGAGATATTCATATTAATCAAAAATAAAATCAGGTGTTTAAAGTCATAATTACAAGTACGTCACGGAGGATGATGACGTGCACAGACCATTTTTTTAATTATAACGACAGTATCTAAAGTCTCGAACACAATTCTGTCCTTTATTTAGTATAGCTTACAACGACTTTCGCTTACAACGACTATCGCTAATAACGAATATCGTTTATAGCGACCAATTTGGCCGCCCCCTTGGTTGCCGTTATTAACGTTTCCGACTGCAGTTAGTCTTTCAATTTTATACTGAATATACTTTGCAATTTGATTCTACTGTTCGAAGGTTCGTACAGTATATAACGCAATGTTGTGTGTAAAGTAAAATTACTTGTTCGAAACAGATGAAAAAAACATTGCAAAAATATATATGTATGTGTAGTGGTGTTTTGGTACTGCTGCAAACAAACAAGAACACAAACAAGCCAAGATCGAAACTATGTAGAAAAACATTGCTATTTTCAATGCCGGAAGCTTGCTTAGAAATATTTTCGTATACATAGAAAAGTGTTTCATACTTCTGCAGTCATTGTTATGAACAGTCATTGTGATGTCCATCCTGAAAAGGACAAGTAAAAAGAAACGAAAAGGCGTTCTTGAAAGAAAATATTCAGGAAGCAAGAAAATTGAATCCGTTCAAGAATTTTCCGTTCCTACACTAATGGATATTTCACTTTGAATTGAACGAAATAGCACAAGTAAAATGCATAGTTTTTCTTTCAATGCCTCGAAAATAGTTTTTCCTCGTCTAAAACGGCTGAATATGATGTGGAGGATGAATCATATTCACGCACCGTCGTATGTTAAAATATCCATTTGATTTATTTTGACATAACTTGTTACTGTTCTAGTCCATACAAAGTGAAACAACTGAAAAAAGGGAAAACATACCTGGTCCGCCAGAAGAATATAGCCGTCATTTACCAGACATTGGCGTACGGCGGCATTGAAATCTGGGTAACCCACACGAGGACACTCAATGCCCGGAAACAAATCCTATGGGAAACATTATATTAAATATGTGATAGTTTTATTTTCGGAAAGTTCTGGCAAGTCAGTTATGCATTCACATATATTATGGCTTACCTTAATGAGTCCCAAAAATAATGGCACATCTTCAAAAACAAATTTCGGAAAGTTCATATCACGCAGCACTCGCATTAGTACCACCGCCTCGGGCAAATCATCTGATTGGCGTTTCATAACACCCGCCATACGAAGCACAGAATTTAATGAGCGCAGTCCCCAGTCATAGTGGCACTGCTTCGACAGCTGTTCCTGAGCCAGGGCATATAGAACAGTCATCTTTTTGGCTAAAACCTTTAAAAAGAGTTAAAAATTAACAGCGACGACACTAAAACAGAACGACCAATAACATAGATGTGGGGTATATTCAAAATTTGTCTTTTTTGTAAGAGGGATGTATGAAATTATTTAGAATATGTGAGCCGCCGGAATGCAAAATGGCAGCCACATCTGCAATATAGCGACTACGTCAAACCAAGAACAAACTAAATAAAAATTGAAAATGTTCTTCAAATATCTGTTAAGAAATATTGCAGGTTGCCTCAAATTACCGAAACTGGTTTGGTACTGTTATACGAACACTATACAATGTTTCAATACCAAACAACACAGGCAGTGGCAATGTATTTTTAGGATCTTCCCTAAATATTGTTATTCCTATCGTGATTTAATCGGACGGATATGGCTAACTCGACATTGACTTTCATGCTGATCGAGAATATAATTTATGAGGCCTCCGACAAATATTTTGGGGTGTTGCAAACGGAATTACAAATTTACTATATACTCGACCAAATTCTGCACAGCAAATACAACAAAAAGTTATAGAGAAAACATTACTAATACTAATATTTGTTACTAAATTATTATACCCAGCTCGAATAGAATTATAATTAAGTTGCTGTTCTAATTTCCATACGTTTGTACAGAGTACATAAGGGGCGTAATTGTTATGGTGTTGGCTGTTGAAAAGCTTGACATTGATGGCGATGACGGTTGTCGGTGGTGATGGTGACTGTGGTAGGATTTCGCCGTTAAGACTCATTCTGTCGAATAGTCTACAACAGCTGTTCGTGATGATGTTGCGATGATGACGGTGATAGCAATGACTGGCATCGAAGAAGAAGGAAAGAGTTCTAATTATGTTCAGTGTAATGGGTTTTTTTTTTGGAAAATGTTACTACGAAATCGTGTATACCCTTGCAGTGGTATGTTTATGCATGAGAAAATTAACTATTAGCGTTTACTGTTGCATTTGGGGTTAGGACGTCTCTTTGGGTAATTGCCACCTTTACTTACTTTCGCTGTTAGAAAACCGTCTGAGAATAAAGAGATCAAACAAATTAACTCCAAATCCGGTTTTATACATGTCACCGGTCTAAAAAGAGCCTTTACAGATTCGGGCAATTCCGTGCGTCCAGCATAACCAGGATTCATGGTGACAAAAATGCCCACCTTACGATCGATTCCAATTTCACTTCCTTCAAACTGAAAGGAATACAAATCGAATTAGATGACCCGAAACATACCAGCCCTCCAGCCTACTTACCACAAATCGATCCAATTTCCTTAACAGAGCATTTCGTATGGTCTGTAGTTGAGTGGAAATTACACTGAGCACAGAAATATCGATGCGATTGAATTCGTCGAAGCAACCCCAAGCACCACATTGTGCCAGCCCTGAAAGTATTGTGCCCACCGCTCTAAAGTCCATTCCTTCGCCGCAGTTAGTGACGACACACAGCAGAGCCATGGCTTTGGCCAAATCCTTTGTGGTTTCAGTTTTACCAGTTCCTGCCGGGCCAGCTGGCGCGCCGCCCAAATTCATAAGAAGGGCTTGCGTAATTGTAAGATAAATTCGGTCTGTCAGCGGAGTAATTACCAAGCGAGAATTTAAACCCAAATACTCATAGCCGTAATCAAATCGGCCCGTGCACTGGATAACATACAAATTGTCATACATTTTAATCCAATAGAAACGCAATTGGCTCTCCCAGCTAAATTCTCGTGCATCCAGCACATTGTCCCTTACGAATGTTTCGATAATGTCGCGGGCATGTACGTCTATTGTTGCAATGGTTCGGAATTTCTTGCGGTCGTTCGAGCTGAGGTTGGAACGCACTTTCAACACCAATTCATCCATTTGGTAGTTTTGTTTGTCCAGAAAATCTTTCATGGCTCTTAAATTGCCGAAATTCTGAGCTTGGTTGAATGCCTCCTCCACCTCTGAAGTCCACCATACCTGGCTGGCGGCCAAGCCAACCATACTTTGGTAATTCATTAGCCAATCTGGTCTGGTGGTGGAAGTTCAATGAAAGGAAAAAATGGATCGTGGTTAACGGCAAAATGTGAATGAATCAATTTTATGACATAAAAGCGATTTCATTAAATTTTACGACACCAAATAAAACCGACACATGCACATCCTCCATACACCCCCTTTATACCCTGTGGTCACCACGGCAGTGTGGTGGTACAATGAACATCAGGATAATGTTCCACCGACCGGCGCTCATCCCCATGACACTTGCCATCCACCAACCCCGCCAAGAACTCAACCATCAGCGGCAGCAGCACCATCATGGGGAGTGTCATTATCATTGGCAAACGACAGTGTTATATTGGTCTTGCGGTTAATCGATGTCAATAAAAAGATAAATCGCTTATAACGACAAAATTATTCATTGTAGGTCGTAAAAAATATAATCGAACAGAAAAGCCATTGCAACGACCAACAGCCGTCGCCACATTTCAGTTAATGTTTAAATATAATGTTCTTCCAACATATTTGGGGCATGTGCATGTTGGCTTTGATAAATTGGAATTGGAATCGGAATTGGTCACAATGAAAATGTCTTCAATGTTGACATTGGTCATGTACTACTGGTGTCAGTAAGACTGTACACTATTTCTCACCTGGTTATTTCGAGATCAGTTCCATAATCATAAATTGCTTTTTTGGTTAGGTATCGATTCGATCGCCGCATCTCGTCCAAAACGTCATTCATCCAATTCTCCACACGTCCCTGGGCACGAACTGTGCATTCAAATTGTGGAATATCGTATAAGAGAACACAAATAGGTAAAAGAGTGAGGGAATTTTAAAAAAAGATTTTGAATAAAATGATAGAGGGCATGTCGATATTTATAATAAATTAATAATTAATTTTATAGCGGAATTTTCAACACATTTTACTGTTATCATTTGAATTAATAGCCCAAAAATGATTAGTTAAAATCCAATGAAATACATGTTTTGAAATGGCTTGCCCAATCCCCAGGTCAAAATTCCAAAGAACATTTTTGGGAAAATATCAACATTTACGAAGAGTATCAGAGGCAACAATTGACAAATTAATTGGGTGAATGCCTCGTTTTATGTTTTTATAAATAATATTTTAGTTTACATTGTTATATCAAGACTTCAAAATTGAATACATTTTTTATTTCATAATATTGGAGAAGAGTCTCTTGTAAAATTTAAAGTAAACATTTTGCCATTGAATTGTCATACACAATATGTCCCAATAATTGTAATTGCCTTTCATAACAAACGAGAAACAAAAAAAAAAAAAGCAAATTCTTGAATTGTTTAATTTTCTTTCACAATTTTTACAACGGATTCTTGTCCCTTGAAATCATGTTCCCACGTTTGTTGTGTTTTGTGGCACACAAATTGGGGCTGGTTGGAGGCAGAAACGAAACAACCGATAGATATTTTCGATTCACTTTGATTCCATTTTTTGGCCAAGTTAACCATTATTACTGTTGTACTGCTTCCTGTTTCCCTTTCAAATCCTCTGTTCTTTTCTTTTCTTTTTTGCTGTCGCATGTCAAAAGACTTGAATCTCTTCATTTGATCGCATCACAAACGGAAGAATTGCTTAAAACAGCATTCGTTGGGTCGTTGGACATAACCACTCAGCCAGAGAGAAAGAGAGCGGGATCCAGATTTTAGGAAACGGAAGTTTGAGAAATTTCCTATTTGGAATTTGGTCAAACGTTTGATTTTAATGAATTCTTTATCGTTGTTTCGTTTTGCCTCCTTCTGTTGCATTGCAAATTTCGTTTGGACTTTTTATTGTTCTGGTTTTCTTTTATTAGTCGCACCAATTTATATTGCCATTGTCATAGCCGTAACGAGCCATTGAGTCGTTATTAATGACTTCGTAACAATAATTAGATCCGTCAACAACAAAAACAACATTTGGATTGGTTGCATTTGTGTAATTATTTATGCTTGATATATTGTCGAGGGGCGTTGGCTTCAATTTGTATTTGTTTTTATTAATGTTGATAAAAGTCATTCATAATAAATTTAAAAAGATAAAAATGAAGAACGAAGGCTCGAAAATTGAGTAAGTTGAGGACTAATGGTGTTATAACTGTAAACCTGGCGAATCCATAAATGTGCATGTGTATATATATATATATACATATCGAACAGTAAAGAAATATACATAATATATATAATGAGTAAAGAAATTATCAAAGTCGGACAGTACCTTTGTACCTTTGGGTATATGTAAAATGTGTTCAATATAAAGTACAATTGAATTAAATTCGAGAGTTAACATAACAAGCTTATGTGTCATATTGTGTTTCAAAATTAAAATTCCTAATCATTATGATTTAGAAAATTTACAGGACTAAGTATGTTGATTTATTGTTATATTATGGCGACCAATGTTATAATGACATCGAATAAACTGTGCATTTATACGAAATATTGAAAATAATCGTCTTCAAATAATTGAAGAGAAATAGAAAATAATAAATTTTACTTACCTTTTTTATTTATTAATTTTTCCGGCTTGAGGTCATTGAATATTAAAAAGATTTTTGGTTTCTTTTTTAATTTATTTTTATTTTTCCAATATTTCGATCATCGTCGATAATCATCATCAGGGATTGACTTTAAAAAACAAAAAAACATAATTACAAAAATATATTAACAAAATTACAAAATTGGTTTTTAGTTACATTTTATTTTTCTTATTAACACAGATTAACTTCCACTCTCATTGAATTGACTAGATCAACTAACTTTTTTTTTTGATGGCGCTTTTTTCAATGATGCTCCTGTAAATTTGTGCACAATGTTCTGTATCTGTCTTAAAATTTATACGGTTTTTGGCAGGTACATTTATTATGTGTAACATTTCTAACATAAATTAACAAAATATGTAGATGACATATTTTGCATAGTTAAGAAAGACCAAATTGACAATACCCTTGCAGTACTAAACGAATATAACAAACAAATAAAATTCACAATGGAATGTGAATCCGAAAATAAGCTGCCATATCTTGACTCAATGATACATAGAGAAGGACGCAAACTAAAACTAGATTGGTACCAAAAGCCGACTGCATCCGGAAGAATCATAAATTTCCATTCCACCAAACACTCTCGGAGTATTAAAATTACCACTGCCACAAATTTTATAAGGAGAGTGCTCAATATCAGTGACAAGCAATTTCACCACAAAAATAAAATAAAAATCAGACAAATATTAAAAATGAATGACTTCCCGAGCCAAACAATTGAAGATTTAATAAAACATGTAAAAACGACTAAAACTGCTAAGGACGAACAAAAACCTGACACAATATACAAAAAGTGCACATATGTACCTGGTCTATCGGAACGCTTCGCCAATTCCAACCTATATGACAAAGAACATTACAGACTTGCTTTAAAAAGTAGCAATACAAATAACAACTTCTTTAGTCGAACAAAATCAAAAACCCCTCCAGACGAACAATCTACAATCTAATTTAGTTTATGAAATCAAGGTATATGTTGGCACTACAAAGACAAAACTAAAAACAAGAATAAGCGGCCACAAGTCTGATCATAAAAATAAAAACAAACCTCTAGAACAGAAAATAGCCTTAGCAGTACACTGTTCTCAAACTGGACACACACCTAACTTTAGAGATGTTAACACGCGAGGAAAACTATAAAAGAAGATTTATGTTAGAAATGTTACACATAATAAATGTACCTGCCAAAAACCGTATGAATTTTAATAAGAAAAATGTGTTAATAAGAAAAATAAAATGTAACTAAAAACCAATTTTGTAATTTTGTTAATATATTTATGTATTTTGTTTTTTAAAGTCAATCCCTGATGATGATCATCGACGATGATCGAAATATTGGAAAAATAAAAATAAATTAAAAAAGAAACCAAAAATCTTTTTAATTTTCAATGACCTCAAGCCGGAAAAATTAATAAATAAAAAAGAAAGTCCAAAGGTCAACAATCATTTCTCAACATTTTACTTACCGCTTTGACGGAACTCCAAAATTTCGCCTTCGGTAGATATCATTGCGTTGACAATGCTCAGGGTGGAACTCTCCTTGATTATACGCAGCGATTTCACATTGTCGTACATCTGATCGATATATAGAAAATGATAGAATTTACAATAACAAACAATGTCGTAAGTTGCCCTTTTCGTAACTCTAAAATTGTCGTAATAACATTTATAATATTCTTTATTCGAAAATGTTTAGTTTTATACAAGCGGCTAAAAAGCGTTTTCTAATTGCTTGATAATTGTCGTTATATACTTTACCTTTATGATATGATGTTGGACAGCAGTTGGTTCCGAGCTTCCCAAAATGGACAATAGCTCATCTGTGGAAATGAAGTAAAATCTGGGAAATATTCGTCGTTTGGATTCGAGATATTCGTTCAGAGATTTTTGACAGTTTTCCAGTCCCAAGCTCAGACCTTGAATTTCGGGTAGCCGCCCGGGTATTGTACAGAATGGTACAACTAACGGATTTTTAGCACAATCGATCATTATCTGAAAATAAGAGCATTATTCCACTTGAATAAGCCTTCCACGCAAAATTTTATCGCCACCATAAATGCAATGGTACGTAATTAACTTTTATTTATTTTACAGGTGAAGGAAAACACGTTATAAAATCTATAAAAATGGAGCATGTATGTAAAGTTTTAATATACTCGTTGTTAGTAGGTCGTAGCTCACATTCCATATCGATCCACGTTTTCTCAATTTCCCTAAAATCTGACTTCATTCGGAAATGTGGCACCAAAAGTCGGTATAATTCCGAAATAATATATGTAGCCGTTTGCCTATTGTTGTTGCTAATCACTTTCAATGAAAAATATTTTTTAATAGAGTATAGAGTATAAAAAAAATTACATAAATCCCATTATTAATTGTAATTGTTACTATGTTACCCATAGAAAATTGAACTAGTTACATTAGTATTAACAAAAAGTGTCAACATCTCCCCACATGCCCGAAAATTGATGTCCGAACCTTAACCGTAGCCAATCTCTTTTCTATTCGAGACAAAAGAACATTCACAGCCATCTAACGGACGCCTATATTTGTAATCACTATGAAATCGTTATCACTTTTGTAACAAACAAAATTGCTTATTCAGTGCACTGCAATTTTATAGGCAATCAGTCCTCGCGGTTACGTTGACCCCAAATCAAGCCGGCTGCTTCCCATATTTTCAAGACGTTGACCCTCGATCGATTTGTTTTGATTGCCATATTATCTACACAAGCACGAGTTAGAAACAATCAGCATTATGTTTGGTTTTTGTTAACAGCTTTGCAAACATGTGTCCTAGCTTTTTTGTTTTTTTTTTTTTGCTACGAATCACTTTCGTCAGACCAGAATAGATGCAATCTGATATGTAATCAGTTTTAAAAACGTATAAAAAGGGCTCGTGCAAGGTAGTTCAGTATGATTTCGCAAAATGAAGTCGTTCACAGCAGTTTCAGTCGTCTGCTTGGCTATCTGCGCCTTGGCCAATCCGGTCACGCAACAAAAATTTGCCGACAAGGACTTCTTGGAGAAGCAAAAGTTTGTGTTGGAAGTCCTCCAGCATGTGTACCAAGACGATGTGTTTGTGACCAAATTCGATGAGACCTACACCACGTACAAGCCTTGGGAACATTTAGACGATTACAATAATGTCGATAAGCTGACGGAATTTTTTGAATTGTGGCAACACAAGCCGCTGTGTGATGAAGTGGTGTTCTCCCCCGTCTATTCCACCCATGTTGAGTACGCATTGGGTCTGGGACGATTGTTTTATTTCGCCAAGAATTGGGAAGCCTTCACTCATGCTGTATACTGGGCTCGCGTTCATGTGAACAAACAACTATTTGTGTACGCCCTTAACCTGGCCACTGTTCTGCGCGACGACTTACACGGCGTCACTACTCCTGCCGTCTACGAGGTTCTTCCATGGCATTTCTTTGATGTGGAAACTGTGACAAAGGCTGAACATTATGCCCTCCACGGATTCCACAATGTCAAGCAGTTGGACAATGTTTTCAATGTTGTTGTCAAGTCTAACTACAGCAATGTGTACGACAACGTTAACTACGACCACACCTTGGCGTACTTCACGGAGGATGTTGGACTAAACGCTTTCTACTACTACTATAATCTGCATTATCCCTACTGGACCAAGGGCCCCGAAACTCATGAATTCAGCAAGGATCGTGTGGGTGAATTGTATTTGTTCTTGCACAGACAACTGTTGGCTCGTTACTATTTGGAACGTTTGTCCAATGATTTGGGAGAAGTGCCTCAACTCAATGTACACCAAAACTATGGTCCCGGCTATTACAGCAACCTAGCCTACTACAAAGGAGTTAGCTTCCCCGACCGTCATAACGACTATAATTTTTATAACAAAGAGAACTACGACCTGGTAAAGGAGCTCGAATTTTACTTAAAACGCGTAGCTGACTTTGTGGACACTACCACCGATGAGTTCCATACTGCTGTCGAGAAGCTTGGAAACACCTTGCAGGGTAATGCTTATAGCCTGGACAAGAAGAACTATGGCAGTCTCGATAATCTTCTCCGTGAAGTTGTGAACGAAGGACGTTACTATGGCAAATTCGGTGATGTGCTACCCGGTACCTTGTCTCAGTACGAAACCTCTTTGCGTGATCCCTTGTTCTATTCCTTATATAAGGAGCTCCTTAGTTATTATTGGCGTTTGGCTGGTAACTATCCAGAGTACAAGAAGGAGGATTTGGAATTCACCGGTGTAACCCTTGACAATGTCCAACTGCCTGAAAAATTGACAACCTTCTTTGAGTATTTCGATTCTGATGTTAGCAATGTTGTCAACGTTGAAACCACAAAAGTGGAAGGTTCTAATGACGCTCTCTTCAAATTCGGTCGCAATTCCGTCCACAATGGCCAAAGTTTCGTTGTTAAGGCCCGCCAGAAGCGCGTTAATCACCAGCCGTTCGAATTCACTTTGGATGTCACCTCGGACAAGGCACAGAAAGCAGTTGTCAAAGTATTCCTTGGACCCAAATACGATGAAAATGGCCGTCTGTTGAAATTGGAGGATAACTACCAAAACTTCTTTGAATTGGACCACTATGTTGTTGACTTGGTTGCTGGTGTGAACCATTTGAAACGCAGTTCGGAAGAATTTGCCTGCTCGACAAACGATCAAACCACATACTTTGAACTCTACAAGAAACTTTTTGATGCTACAAATTCTGATTATCAATTCCCTCTTACATCTGGTCAATGTGGTTATCCACGCCGCTTACTTTTACCCTTGGGTAAAAAGGGTGGTCTAACGTTCCAATTGTTCTTTGCCGTGTATCCCTACCACGCTCCTGAAGTAGCTCAGTACTCCACATACGATCCCACTGTAAGCTGTGGCGTTGGTTCCGGCAGTCGCTATGTTGATGCTTTGCCTCTTGGTTATCCTTTGGATCGTCCTGTCGGCCATGATTATTACTTCCAGGTTGGCAATTTCAAATTTTACGATGTCACCGTTTACCACAAAGACGATACTACCAATGTGGTCTAATTTAAAATTATTTCCCAGTGTGGATTTGATCCGACTTGATTGGCATTATTTCTTTAAATTTATCTTTGTATTTTTCTTTTCTAAATATAATAATAAAAAATGTACGTAATTGAATGATATTTTTATGCGTAATATAATTGAAAAGACGACGACATAATGTAATCTTTACATTATGTCTCATATGGAACATTGGGGAAATTTCACCACACGGTGGTACAGGGTATTGGGTATTTGTGCATATGTTTGTAATATGCAAAAGAAGCCATACCAAAATTCCATGTTAGGCCCAATAGCGATCCTCATACTGCATTTCATTTCAAGCTCGAAGAAACATTTAGTCGTTACTGCTCTAAGAGTGTCATTCACTGATAAATATTGTACGGGACAATCTATCCCATCACTCTAAGGGGCTGATGCGTGTGGGTGGTCAGTTGGCTAACACGACTTTGTTGTTGTTACAGTTGTAAAATGTCTCGGTTATTAACGCTTCGAGTTTTAAGAACAGAATTTTGGATACCACGAGCAAAAACCTTGCACCAGACTCGAAGCCAATTAATGGACTCTTTGCCGATTTCCCGGACTATACCGGATAGACCGTTCACGTGAACAGGGGTTGATTTTTCATGGCCTTGTGATATTAAAAATTACACGGGACGGACTTGTTAAGTAACGAAGGGTTACGTTTGTCTTTTTGTGTTTTTTTGTCACACGTGCTATTCACGTGCAGTCGTGACTCCTAAGAAACCCGTTGGTGCTCGAAGTGTGGAGGAGTTTCCCGGATTGCAGCTGGCTGACGAACATTTTTACACTTTGGCTCCACTCCACATAACATTAGGTGGAGGTGCTCTGGGAAAACCCTTGGCATAATTCACTATGTTTGTGTACATAATAACCGGGACTTATACCCCATAGTTACATGTAAGGCATCACGTATATTTCCTTTAACCATGATACAATTTGCAATTTAACCTCTTGCAGATTCCCTCCAATTGGATTTTTTTGTTCAATTTGCTGAACATATTATTTTAATGAAATTTAGAATTATTATAATTGAATGAATTTTACTGACAGTTTTGTTTGCTTTATTTATGATTTCTAAATTGTATTTAAAGTGAAATCAATGTGGATACTTTATTGTGCACTATTACGACAACCTAATAATTCTTTTTGTTTCTATTTTTATTTTTTTTCGAGCTGGTTTCAGAACATTTTGGTTCCGTAAGATTAAAAGGTGGCCGGGCGGTGCACGTTCATGAAATGTCTATGTTTGGAACACCCTGTCTGACTGAATGGCTGAATAGATATCTATTAAGTTTTTCTTTTTGTAAAGTGCTCCCTTCTACTGTTGAAAAAAAAAACAAAACAAAAGATTTCTAGGAAATTTATACTCAAATTTCTGCGTCACAAAAACCGCATATTAAATAAGGGACACGATGACAAGTCGCCATTGTCTGACTGGCAGACAATATCAGCATATCATCGTTGTCATAATTATTATAATAACGATGATGAGGACGACGACGATCAACACGATCATTTGTATAATATAATTACATACAAACATGCATCCACATATCGACTATGTACAACAATAAACGTTTAACAAACTACCTCCCAGAAATAACTGGAAAAACAAAAGGTCAAACTCATCGCATAATATCTGTCTGCATCATATCATCATCAACATCCAGCATCCATCCATCCCACCAAGATGACCATTGTGTTTTTTGGTGTTTTCGTTATAAATCTTGTAGAAAAGTTAATATTTATCCAATGGTAAGCCAGCAGCAACAACAACACCACCAACAGTCAAATAGCCAACCAACAGCAGCAGCAGCTTATGGCAATAGTGGATGTAGGGTTTGTAGTTTGTAACACCATCGTAGTCTCGCCGAACAGCAATAGTTTCGAACCTAAATCCAGATGATCTTGTTACTTCTTTTCGATCTTCTTCTCTACGTACGACTGTGGTTTTGTTGTCTTTGTGTTTTGTTTTGCCATGCCATTGTGCCTGTCCATTTTTGAAGAACCGATAGCGTAGGTATCCTGAAAGTTGATGTTAGGATCACTGTTGGGGTGTAGGATTAGGGTATGTATGAAGTTTTGGAAACTCGTATTAATATGTACCAAATGGTACCAAAATTGGATAAACCGATTAAGCTGGAAATAGGGTTACTGTTGTAACGTAGGGTTTGGGTATAGATGTAGTTTTTGGAAATTCATATTAAATAGTACTAAACTTGGTACAATTTCAATTTTAGATAAACCGATTGAGGTATGATCCTGAAATTTGGAGATAATATCAGTGTTGGGGTGCAGGAAGTTTTGGAAATTCGTATTAAATGTTACCGAATTTGGATTAGGGTCAACTGATAGAGCTGGAATCTTGAAATTTGGAATTAGGATCACTGTTGAGGTGTATAATTAGGCTATGTATGAAGTTTTGGAAATTCGTTCTAATGTGTACTAAATTTGGTTCAATTTGAATTTTGGGAGAACCGATAGGGCTAGAATCCTAAAATTTGGAGTTAGAATTCCTGTTGGGGAGTAGAATTGGTATATGTAGGTAGTTTTGGAAATTTGTACTGATGTGTACGAAAAGTACTTAATTTGATAAATTTGGATCTAGTTTAGTATTGAGTTTTGTAAATAGATTTGGAAATTTGACTTATGTGTACCAAGTGGTATAAAATATGGTACAATTGCAATTGGATTTAGGCGAACCGTTAGATTGGTGTATGTGGGAAGTTTTGGAAATTTCTACTTATGAGAATTTATATTAATGTGTACTAACTGGTGCTAAATTTGGTGAATCTATATATAATTTGTATTTTTTGGAAATATATATTACAAGAGTAAAAGGGGTAATGACTGATGGCAAAAGAATTGGTGTGTAGTAAAATATTGTTTTGGAAATACCAAAAACATTTTTAATATGTTGGTAATATATATATACAAAAAATTAGCTTTTTTGTTTTTGTGGTACATCAATGATTTTTGGTACACATATAGAAAAAAATGCTCCGAAACCGTTCGCGATCAAATTTTTGGTTGATGCGCGCAAAAGTTATCGAGGTTTTAAGCATAAGAAAAAATAAAATTGTTTATTAATTGACATAACACACACCTAAAAATTAATTTAAACATATGTACATAATCTACACACCATGATGAATCAAATGATATCAAAATCACACAAGTCCGTGTAGCGATTTGTAAATTACAGCGACAACAAAAAAATATATTGAGGGAAAATATTTGTTTTTGGTTCGAAAAAATAATGCCATCATATTTATTTTTTAATTTTATACAAGAAATTTCAGAAAAAGTGATGAGGTTATTCTGCTATTTTACCCGAATTTTGCCGAAAAATATAAAACATATATAAAAATAATCACTTTTTGTGTATACTTTGTGTGAAGTACTGAAGTTTATCTTCCAATCCATGTATATTTTTCCAAATTTCATTTGACGGCTAAGATGTACTACATGTTGCATTGAAGTACCCAAAAACTCGTAAAACGCGAATAATTTCGAAAACTCCATATGCCATTAACGCGCATCCGATTTCGGTGTGCACCCTAAAACAATATATCGATCTATACCGATTTCAACGCCGTCCATTAAGGACCATGGATGACCCAGCACAATCTATTTTTGAGATAAATTGGGTACATCCCTCTTTCGGCTGAAGATTTTAATGCTCTCTTTTCACAAAAGTACAAAATCCGTAACAGGTCATTTATTGAAACGGAAATGATCCACAGAAAATGCAAATAAATCCGCGATATGTTCAAAAACATTTTTTGCCAAATTTCGTGTTTTCGGAAGGCCAGTTCCCGCCGTTCTAGTAGATGGATTTTCACGAAGAAGATTTTATATCATCAGAAACGTAAAAACCCTTAAAAATTTGGACCGAAAAATAGGTTTTTTAGAAACTTGATCGCACAAAATTCTCACTTTGGAATTTTAGGGTTCTTGAGCGCGGTTTTCAACCGAATTCGCTGAAATTGGGTACATTGGGTTCTTATTGGGTACCAAATTTCCCCACTAAAAATTATAAATATAAGTCCACTTTTTCCAGTTTTTGGGGGGTTTTGACCGGATTTTTCACCGAATTGGCTGTAATTTAGTAATTTCTGTTTTTATTGGGTATCAAATCTCTCCACAGAAAATTATGAATATGGGTCAATTTTTTCGGGTAGTCCCCATATAAGGGTACCCCCAATTTTTGATATTTTGTTCTTGAGGGTTCTTGAGGGCGTTTTTAACCGAATTCGCTGAAATTTGGTATTTTGTAGTCGTATATGGTAACAAATCTCCCCACCAAAAATTATTATAATTCACCCCTTTTTAGGGGTAGTCCCCATATAACCCTCTTTTTTATATTAAAATAGTTATCTGATTTGTTCTGTGTGTTGGGGTTGGGTAGTCGTTAGACTATTTAGACATCTGTTGTAAGCATTGCGCCTTCTAAAGATATTGTGATAAAAGAAAACTCAAGCATGACGAGAATGAAATATATCGGCAGACATTTAGGCATTTTCTCTATATTCTCTATAATGAAACCTCCTGAAGGAAGGAATTGAGATAAAAAATTAAAATATTGGGTTCAATATTGGCATATACCGGTCATTAATTAGGCATAGCCCTCATATAATGATATTCCCAAATATTCACTATTTCCTACACTATGTAATCAATATTGGTCTCCTTTAGGCATAGCCTCATATAACTTTGTAATCTAAATTACAGTAGTTTGAGGATTTTACACTCTACCATGCGTTATCCTGATACTGATAACGCATGGTAGAGTATTATTCATTTTTTTGGATCTTACAGATTTTAGTTAAAATCCCCATTAAAAATTGCTGAAGTTTGTATTTGGTGTACATAATGGTTTACATAAATCGGTTTGTAGAATTACACAGTGACACATTTTTCAACTTTAAAATCTTGAACCAATCGAGACCCCCAAAATCTTGAAGCTTGTGATGGTG